GCTGTGGCCTGGACTGGACAGAGGGTGGGCCATGTTTGACTGTGATAAAGCAGGGCCAAAACAGATCGGGCCAAGGGGGACACCTTCCTAAGCCCCCCTTCCCTTCCTTTCCAAAAAGGACAGCCTGTATGGATGCTGGCCACTGTGGAGAACTGGGTGACTGGAGCCAGGCCTCGGCTATGTGTTCCCAGCACCACCAGCTCTAAACTTCAGACAAGCCGCCACCCTTCTCACACTGCTGAGTGGGCTCTGGCCACTCCCTAGGCCTCGAGGAGTTGTGGTCTGGAATGGGAACAGGCCAGCTGCCACTGTGGCTTCTAACAAAATGCCCTGGAGAGCAGTGAAGGGCTTGGAACCCCCCTTGCCCAAAGGCACCTTAACCCAAGGCTGCAGGGGCCCTGCAGGGCCACGATGGATGCATCCTAGATTCTTGAGTCCATGCCAAGGAGGAGCAGAAACCGGGGTGCAGAGAATCCTTGGGTGGGGATGAGGTAGCCAATTGAGCCTTAGAAGCCCTGGCTGCGGGTGGTGCCTCTATGGCCCTCCTGAGGTAGAAGGAGGTGGGGCCACCCTGATTCCACCTCCCTCTCCATGTTAAATGGCACTGAGTTCTTTGATTCAAAGTAGGCACTGGTGGGGAAACAGGGGCCAAAAGCTGCAGAGCTACTGTCCTGGAGGAATCCCTGGTTCCTAGCCCACTCCCAGGCCTGCTGCAGTTGTGGAGGGCAGTCTGGTTGGCTGGCAAGCCAAGTCGCAATAACCAGAGGCAGGAAGTACCGCCCTGGAGTGGAGGGAGGCTTCCTGCAGCTGTCCCAGGCCCTCCTCACCTCCTTCGCAGGTTCTCAGGCAGTCGCAGTCCCTTGAGCCTTCAGCATGGGGGAGGGGGACTGACCCAGCTCAGACTTTCCTCCTGGAGGCCCAGAGGGAGGAAAGTCTTCATGGGCAGGGCATCCCAGAAGGCTAGGTCTGCAGCTGGTGGGCTCTGGAGCCAAGACAAAACCTTGCTGCCCACCATCTATGGGCCAACAGAGTGAGTAACCCATCGCCCTCCAGCGACATCGCTGTACTCCTGTCACAGGTGTGCTGGGATCTGGGCACTAACGCTCAGTCCCCCACCTCAGCCTCATGCATCCCCCAGTGAGGCTGCAGCACCCTGGCAGCGTAGGCAGGGTGGCTGGGCACAAACGATGTCCTGGGCTGTCTGGGGGTGCGGAAGGCAGAGCTCCCTGATGCCCCAGCAACCACAGTGCTCCGTTATTCTAGTGGTGGGAGGGCGGCAGCAAAGCCCCCTTGCTGGGGAGCACCCTAGCCCTCGACCAGGCTTCTCGCTCCTTGGGCGGTGTCCCCACCTCCAGGTTCGGCCGGGAGGGGCAGAGTGGGGCACCAGGGCAGGGATCGGAAACTTCATCGGGCCACTTGGGGAAACGGAAGTTCAGAGAGGCGCACAGCCTGGTCTGGAATCGCCTAGGCTGCTCAGAGCGCGCAGAGACCTTGCTCCCTCACGACGAGACACCGCGGCCACCTGCCCAGGCACTGGCACCGGCTTTAGGCGGAGGTCTGGGTAGGACATAGGTTCCATACGGGCCCCGTGGGGTGCTGTGGGGGCTGAGGGACTCCATCCAGAGATGGTGAAGAAGATGCCTCTTGCTGGAGCCAGGTAGACTGAAGGAAGACAAGGTCCCGGGTAGGGGAGATGGGGTGAGCGGTCCGGATGTGAGGGCGCAGCTAGGCGGTAGCCGGCTGGCGGGGCGGGGGGCGGGGGGCGGGCCGCGCTTTGGTGCGCGCCGTCGGGAGCAATGGCCAGGGCGCCCCCTCCGGCGGCTTGGGGTCCAGGCGGGGCGGGCGGGGGCGGCGCCAGGCAGCGATGACGCGCGCGGGGGACGTGCCGCGCGAGCAGGGAGAGCACTTAAAGTCGCCCCCTGCGAGGCACCCGGCATCCTCGGCGGGCAGGGCGCACAGAGGCAGTGGCAGCAGGTAGGCGCGTCTCGGATGCTCGGCGGGCCAGGGCGGGGACCTCGAGCCGCACCCCGGCTCCTCTTCCTAACTCCGTTACACCGCGGGGTCCAGGACGACCCGGTTTGGGCAAGTCCTGCCCCGCGTCCCCCGCCAAGGGGTACCAGCTACCCAGGTCCAGCTTTCCTGGGGCAGCCATCCGTCGGGCGGCCCTCGGTTGCTGGGCTCCATCCAGGAGGTGGCCGCACCGGGCGGCGGAGTCTGTCCTGAGTATAAATAGCTCGGTCCGCGGCCAGGGTGCGAGGTCAATAGTTGGTGGTAGTCTATAGTCTCCCCGAGGAACAGGGGCGCACGTGTGCTCTGGCCAGGGACCATACGAGGGGGTGGTCTCTCGGCCTTTCTTTCTCCTAACACCGTCTGGCACCCACTTTCGGTCCACAGCCAAGAGTCCAAACCCAGGCACAAAGGTAGAGGACCTCCTCTAGAATTGAGGTACTCATAGCCGTGCCCTCGCTGTGCCCCAGCCTGCAGGAAAACCAGACAGGGCCCTCAATTTCCTTGTCTGAAAGTGGGTGGAAGAGGCACCTACCTGGGTGCTGGGCAAGCGGGAGGCAGGTGCTCAGAGGGCGGGAAGCCGTTAGCTTTGGGCCTCTTGGGTGCCTGGCTCCAAGTAAGGGCAGCAGGGGCCAGTGTCCTTCCTGTCCCAGAAGCACCAGGCTGCTTATCCAGGGCTCTGGGGTGACAGAGTCACTTACATGATTCGAATCAGGCCCACTGAATAGTCTTGAGGGACAGCAAGGCAGGTGGCCTCTCCAAGCAACCAGGCCTGGGGCTGGCCTCACTGGGAGAGCCCCTGCTGGTTTTCCAGGGGGTCCTGGCTCTGTTCAGCGGGCCTGAGAGCCGGCTGTGTCTGCTGGGTCTGTCCCCTCTGGCAGTGTGGACCCCTCTGGATGGGCAGTGACTAGTGCTCTGCTACTAGGAGATGGGGCTGGGGCTTTGCTCCCAGAGAGCCCAGGGGGGCACTGCCTGAGCAGGTATGGAGCCCTGCCCAGGGGTGTGGTGTGGTCAGGGCCTTGGGTGGCCTCCAAGGTGGACTCGCCCCAGAATGACCTTGAGCAGGGCCCGTTACCCAGAAGGCTATGGCCCTCACTGCCAGGGGCATGGACACAAACTTGTAGGGACAGCCAGGAGGGAGCTCTGGTAACCTCGGAGCAGCCAGCAAAGGCTGGCAGGTGGAGGGGCGCGAGGGTGGGACCCTTCCTAGACATGGTTCTGGGGATGGAATGGGCCAGTGAGGAGCCTCAGGGGAGGGGCGCCAAGCTACAGGAGGCGCCTTCTGACCAGTCCTGGGCCCCAAGACACGGGGCTCTGGAGCAGAGGCTGTGGGAGAGCGGACAGCGCCTGGGCTCCTCCCGGTGTCAGCTAAGCTAGCGCATCCCTGCCCATTGTGTTCATCTGTGGAATGGGCCGTGTGGGGGTCGGGTGCCTTCACAGAGTCATCGTCCCTGGATTCCCGCGGTTGGCGAGCCGGCACCCCGAGCGCTAGCAGAGGGAGAGGAGGCCGGCCCACCCCTTGCACGAGGGCCGCTACAGCAGCGCTGCTGGGCGCCTACTCCAGGCAATACGGCGGGCTCCTCCCTCGGCGCGGTCGTCACGTCCCCCACGTTCCGCGGGCGCACGGGCGGAGTATCTTCCCGCCCCCACCCCACAGGCTCAGCCCGGTGCAACCCGCCTACCCTGCCCGGCTGTGCCGACCCCTCCTGCATCCAGGCGGCGCGCAGAGGAGGGCCCTTGTTTCCCGGTTGCCTCCTTTCTACCGGCTGCGGGCACCTGGTGGGGCAGTGGGAGGGGTTCCTGACCCTGGCCCTCCCCTAGGGTTCCCGCGGCCTCGAGGAGGGGAGCCTGTGCGGGGCCCAGAGGGCCTTGGCGGCGTGCGAGCGGGGGTGGCTGTAGACTGACCACGACCAGAGACACCCCAGGGAAGGGCGTTGGACAGCACGAGGGGGCCGCGCCCCAGAACTGACCACTGTGCGGCAGGAAGGGCTGAAGTCTCAGATGAGGCTGGAGCCCAACCCCACACGGCGGCGGCATTCCCCATTCCCCCACGGGCCTCAGCAAATGATGCAAAGCTACACATACAGAGGCTACCCTGGGGCTGAGAGGGCCAGGGGTGAAAGGATGGAGGACTTGCCCTCTGCTCTCCGGACAAAATCCATTATACCCCAGCACAGCCTTGGGCGCCTGCCTGCCTCCCTCCTGCAGGGGAGGGGGGAGGGGGAGGGGCGTGCTGCCGGTGACCTGTTTGCACAACACCATGGAAGAGGAAGGAAGGGCAGCTCTCAAGGAGGCCTGCCCTCCCATGTGCACCCTCCTGCCTCTTTCACCCTGAGAGGCTGCAACAGGGTTGTCTCCTTGTCCCTCAGTGGTCTGAAAAGTGACTGGAAGGAAAGTAGTTGTCCCCAGGCTTGCCACAGAGTAGGCTTGGGCTGCTGCAGGGACCTGGCCTACCCTCCTGCAGTTCATTATGCAGGCCTGGGAGCGGCAGGTGAAGGGCAAAGTTCTGTGTGGGCTGGACGTTTGTGCTTCCCTAGTGGGAAGTTACACAGGGCCCCTTCTGGGCCTCTCCTGGGAGGGCTGTTGCAAGCGTCTTCCATGAACCCTGCCCGGTTGGTTGGCTGTGTCCCTTCTTAGACTTCAGCGGCTGGGGGTGTAGGACCTTCAAAGGACCTTTAAGGGCCAGCCTTGCAAGCAGACTGGAGCCTCTGCTGACCCAGAGGCACCCCCAACCCCAGATCAGCTTTCGACCCGGAGGCCAGGTTATTTCTGGGCTGGTTCACATGCTTCCCCCGGAGGGTAAATGTCACTGAAAGGCCAGCGTGTTGCAGTGTGCTCTTGGGTGTGCCATCAGGGTGGCCTGTGCTGGGTGCTTCTCCCCAGGCCAGGCAGCCCAGGGCTTTCTTGAGAACAGCATGAACCCTTGCTTGGGTCAGCCTGGAAGATGAGGTGGGCTTATTTCCTTCCCCCAAAGGAGGCTGGACTGGTGAGACCATTTCACTCTAGGGAATCTCACCCCTTACTCTGCTGTCTGTTGTGTGGTCAGCCCATTCAGGCCATGTTGGTTTAGAATTAGCCCTGGTTGGCAAGCCGAAACCTCACTTAGAACACCCTGTGCAGGGTGGCTGGCACCCACTATGGCTGCCTCAGTTGGGAACTTCCCATCCAGGAGCTGCCATCTCCTTGGCACAGGTGGTTCTTCCTGTGTGAGCCTCATGTGGCAGCCGCAGCCACTCGTGCCCCCAGATCGTGCTGCACCTCTTTGGGCTCTGAGTATTGGCCAACTCTGCTAACCCTCCAAGATCCCAGGTGATGCAGAGATGGCCCCTCCAGGGAGGGCCCAGTTCTTGGGGGCAGTGGACATGCAAGGGAAGAACTTAAAAGGCTCTGGGATTCCTAATTCTCTGGCAAGCATAAGGCATGGCTGGTGCGGCAGGAGATGGAGGCCTTGGACGTCTACCTGTGTTTGCTGGGTGCAGAGCTTGGCTATTCCTACTGCTGATTTTGGACATGTGCCACTCCTTGGCCTTGTGTATTCACTTGATTTATTTTAAAAAGTGCAAAAAAAATTTTTGTAAATCCACAGCCAAACCAAGCAGGGGGCCCTGGGGACAGTTACCCTCCCACTGTCCTTATGACTAGCCTTTGAATCCTGGACCTGGGTTCCACACCCTTTTTCAGAGAAAGCATGAACTGTGAATGTATATTCCTATAATGTACATTTTTTTTCAGATTTTCTTTGTTGTGTGTAATCTTAAGGACATTCCCCCTTCTCCCCAGTACCAGGGATGGCTAGTCTTTTTAATTTTGAGATAGACTCAGACTAAATTGGCCAGGCTATGCTTATTTTGTGATCTTCCTGCCTCAGCCTCCTAAGTAGCTGAGTTCATAAGTGGGGTATTTTCAGATTAGTGCCAACGTGGAGAAGAGCAGCCTGTGCTGCATCCCGCCTCCTGGTGTGTTATGACTGTCCCACTGGGCCTTCCTCTGTGCTGTCTCAGGCTTGTGGGTCCCTCTGCATGGACAGGTCATGCTGAGCCTAGGTCTCCACCCCAAGGCACAATTGCTAGCTACCCACAGGGGCTCTGTGCTTGCAGGAGGAAGCCAGGAACTTGGCAGGGGTGGGGCCAAGAGAGCCAAACTAGTGCTGAGGTGATGTGGTAGAGTCACACCTGCTGTCCTGGCCTGGGGCTCTTGGGCATCAACTGCACTGGCTAACCTTACATACCAGGGCTTGTGTGCCTCCCCAGGGAGCTGGCCAGCCACACGTCACTGGTGAGAAGAGGCTGAGCAGACTGGATCGAAGGCCCTAGGTGTCAGACACCAACCCTGTCCCAGGTGTCTCCTTGGTGAGGTGGGGGTAACTGCTAGGATTAGGGGGGCTTCTGATGGGATGGGACAGAGAGAGAAGCCTGGCCCCAGCCTCAGATGCGCTAAGCTCCTGGATTTATAAAAAGGGAAGTCAGCCTTGGCTGTGTGGCATTTGGGGCAGCCTTCCTTGTGCTGCCAGCCTGGGCTGGCAAGAACAGACTCCAGTGGGCTGGCCAGAAGCCACCTCCACCACTAGCCCTTCTTGGGTGGAGCCCTGGCCCCAGCCCTTCCTTGAACCCATCAGGCCTTCAGCTTTTTTCAAGAGCTGAAGGATTGTGCTGGCAGCTGCCAGTCTCCACCCATGGGAAGTGGGGCAGGTGGTACCTTACAGCTCCCTGGCACTCAGGCCTCTATACCTGCCTCCAACCCTGCACAGTCAGCTCAGAGCCCAGTTCCCCTGTGGGCAGGAGATGAGGCTCAGCTGGCCAGGTACGGATTTGCACAAAGCTGGGCAGAAGTCCAGAGGACACCACCACCTAGTGGGGCTGCTTGCACTGAATCAGCACACACCAGCCTGCCGACCGCCCTGCAGGCTCTGCTATTCCCAGGGGGTGACCTCAGTCCTGGCTGAGCCCCCAAACCACTGCCCTTCAGAGCCAGCTGTGTGTGAGCAGGAAGCTGAGGTTGGGTCATGAATGAAGGGGCCCAGTCGCTCCCCCTGGTGGAGGTGGCAGAGGTCGTCAGAAGTGGAGGGCTGTGGGGCAGCCCAGCAGGCTGGCCGTGGCTGAGCTCTAGGTGCCAGTCCCAGGCTACTGGCATGCCTGGCCTGTCTATTCCTGCCCTCCCCTGCAGGGCTGAGGCTACATGATCACCTGGCACCTGAGCTGGCCTTGCTTCCTTCCTTCCCCTTCTCTCAGGTGAGAAGGAACCAGCCCTCTTGGCCATGGGAGGTGCTGTGGTGGATGAGGGCCCCACAGGCATCAAGGCCCCGGATGGCGGCTGGGGCTGGGCTGTGCTGTTTGGCTGCTTTGTTATCACCGGCTTCTCCTACGCCTTCCCCAAGGCCGTCAGTGTCTTCTTCAAGGAGCTCATTCGGGAGTTTGGGGTCGGATACAGCGACACGGCCTGGATCTCCTCCATCTTGTTGGCCATGCTTTATGGCACAGGTAGGGCCTTCCACACATCAAGCCCCTAGTTCTGGGGCTCCAGCTTGCTGAGCTAGAGGCCTAAGTAGGTAGGGCTCATTTCAGGCTCCAGAGGCCTAAAGGGAAGCCCTCAACGGGATCCTGCTGGGGAGCAGCCCAGGTGGGCTGGCCTTGGCAACACATGCCTTGGCCCCTGGCTAAACAAGTGGGCAGTATTTATAGATGGTCGTAGAGGACAAGGCCCTCACAAGCTGTTTCTTAACTGACAGCGAATCCTCGTAGACCAGCAGGGTGCAATCAGATGAGCCCCATAGTGAGTGAGGCTGTGCCCGCAGTGTCCATGCACAGGCTGCCCTCTGGGACTCTGGTCCCCAGAGCTGCCAGCACATTTGCCAAGTGGTGTCTGGGAGGGTGTGGCCATCTTCAAGCAGCAGGGCTGGGGCTACGACTTGGACTCCTGGTGGGCTTGCACAGGACAGAGCCTGGCCGGAGGCCTGGGCCAACCCCACCCCAGCTACTGCCTCCCTGCAGGCCCGCTCTGTAGTGTGTGTGTGAACCGCTTTGGCTGCCGGCCCGTCATGCTTGTGGGTGGCCTCTTCGCGTCCCTGGGCATGGTGGCTGCATCCTTCTGCACAAGCATTATTCAGCTCTACTTCACGGCAGGGGTCATTACAGGTGAGTGGGGCCCAGCTGACACCGCTGGGTGTTGGTAGGTGGGAGGGGTGGGCACGTGCAGGGGTGGCGGTCTTTCCTCCCTACCCCCCACGGGCACCCCAGACTCATGTGGACCCTCAGGACAGAGCTGCAGCATGCTTGGTGGAGGTGTCGGGGGTGCAGGGTACACCGACAGTCACATGCCATCCCTTTCCCGCAGGCCTGGGTCTGGCCCTCAACTTCCAGCCCTCCCTCATCATGCTCAACCGATACTTCAGTAAGCGGCGCCCCATTGCCAATGGGCTGGCCGCAGCCGGCAGCCCAGTGTTCCTGTGCGCGCTGTCCCCGCTGGGGCAGGTGCTGCAGGACCACTATGGGTGGCGGGGTGGCTTCCTTATCCTGGCCGGCCTGCTGCTCAACTGCTGCGTGTGTGCCGCACTCATGAGGCCATTGGCGCCCAAGGTGGATGGGGGGCCTGGGCCCCAGAAGTCCCGGAGGCTGCTGGATCTGAGTGTCTTCCAGGACCGAGGCTTTATCATCTATGCTGTTGCTGCCTCCATCATGGTGTTGGGGCTCTTTGTGCCACCCGTATTTGTGGTGAGCTATGCCAAGGACCTGGGTGTACCTGACACAAAGGCTGCTTTCCTGCTTACCATCCTCGGCTTCATCGACATCTTTGCCCGGCCAACTGCTGGCTTCATCACAGGGCTCAAGAAGGTGCGGCCCTACTCAGTCTACCTTTTCAGCTTCGCCATGTTCTTCAACGGCTTCACTGACCTGACAGGCTCCACGGCCAGCAACTATGGGGGCCTGGTAGTCTTCTGCATCTTCTTTGGCATCTCCTATGGCATGGTGGGTGCCCTGCAGTTTGAGGTGCTCATGGCCATTGTGGGTACCCACAAGTTTTCCAGCGCCATCGGCCTGGTGCTGCTGATGGAGGCCATAGCCGTGCTCATTGGACCTCCATCAGGTGGTGAGTGCTGTTAAGGGCTTGTGGGACACTCCTGGGGACCCAGGCTACAAGTGTCTGGAGTGGGTAGCTGGGCCCAACTGAGATGAAGCTTATGGCTTCCCACTGGAGGGGCAGCCTGGCCAGGCTCTGGCCTATGGGAAGTCACTCTGCAGCCCACACGAGCCTCCTACAGCCTCCAATTCCTCCTTTACCCCAGCACCCTAAGTCACCCTGCCTGGCCCTCCATGTTTCATGGTTCTTGGTTACAGAGTATAGGGCTGTATAGAGCCCAGCAGCACCCTGGGAGGCCATAGGAAGGCTCTCCCATGACTCTGCAAACCCTAAAGTGACTTGTTTTGAGCCTCTCAGCCTCTGCTTGGGGGCGGGGGGAGGAAGAGGAAGTGAGGGCAGAAGGGTACTTTTGCGTGAAGCTGTAGTCGGCCTAACTTCCCAGACACACTGGCTAGACACTAAGAGGCATCTGCGGGAGACCTGCAGGCAGAGCTGGTGACTCAGGTTCTTTTGTAGGCAAGCTGCTGGATGCGACCCACGTCTACCAGTACGTGTTCATCCTGGCGGGTGCTGAGGTGGTCACCTCTTCCCTTGTGCTGCTGCTAGGCAACTTCTGCATCAGGAGCAGATCCAAGGCATCGGAGCCCGACGCAGCAGCCTCAGCCTTGGAGGGGGAGAAACTCCACAAGCCCCCCGTGGATGTGAGCGTGGACTCAAGGGAGGTTGAGCACTTCCTGAAGGCAGAGCCTGAGAAAAACGGGGAGGTGGTTCACACTCCGGAAACCAGTGTATGAGCAGCCTGGCTGGGGCTGGCAGGGGACAGGCAGGAGGTACAGAGACTGGCAACATGTATTTATTTCACAAACAGGACTAGCCCAGGCGGGGCTGTCAGCTCTGTGCTGGGGTGCTGGCTGCCTGGTCCCTGGGTCACCTACTGATGTTTGTCAGGGGAGGCCATGAAGGGGGGATCATGTCATTCCAAAGCAGATCTGCAGTGAAGCCAGGCCCCACAATTATAAGTCGCCTGTGCCAGGGATCCAGCCTGCAGACCCCAAGCAGCCTGTGCCCCCCACTGTAGTCAAGGACCTAGAAACCCAGACTTCTGAGACAACACCACTTTAATCATAGGCCAGGGCTGCTGGCATGGGCCTGACCCCACTGTTCCTGCCCCCTTCTCCTGCAGAGCCCACGCCTCTGCCCACCTGGGAAGGTGCAAAGGAAGCCTGTGTGTGGTGGAGCCTTGGAGGGACTTGCTGGTGCAGTTCTATGCTGCCGTCTGTTCACCCCAAGTCTCAATTCCGTCAGGAAATAACCTGGTTATTCTTACAAATGGTCCTGTCCTTGTCCGCTTTCCTGGTGCTCTGTGCTCAAGGTGTTTCAGCCCAGCCTTGGCAGCAGTGGGTGGGGCTGCTTGGCAATGAGTGTTCACAGGGCACAGAGAAAAGGGCTGGCAGGGGTGAGGCACTATGTGTAACTGAGGCTCCAGGAGGTGGTTTTGCACCTCCTGACTGGTCCCTAGACCTATGGGAGCCCTAGTGGTAAAGGCACTGACCTGAGATACAGCATATGTGCTCTGTTTACTGCATGTGGGCTGAAAACACATTTTCCTGCCTTTCATTTATTCACCTCTCGGATGGGCTGGTCGCTTTGCTCTGTGTGGTCAGCATCCGCTGATCTCTGCTGCCCGTTCTCCATCCAGCCTGCATTCAGAGCTCTGGCTGGCCTTGGGTGCTTCACACCCATCTGCCCTCATGGCCAGCAGTGGCCTGCATGGCTGGGAGCCTGGTCAGAGGGTGCTGGGGCGCCTCAGTAGGTGGTACGTCGTGGGCGCTGGGGACGGCAGTGGGCACCCTGGCGGGCCATGTGCAACCGGAAAGATGCCACATCCCTGCTCCTCTGCAATAAAAAGGAGGCGAGAGCTCACATCTCGGTCCACTTCCCTCTACCCCTGCGGGCATAGTCCCACCCAGCTCTTTGAAGTAGTTGGGTGACACTGCCTATAGCCTGTGGCTCAGATATGTCTCACCGCTGGATTTCCTGCTTCCTCTGTTAGGGGTGAGGCTGATGGGCAGTGCTGACACCTGAAGGGGTCACTGCCCAGCCGTGATGGCCAAAGGCCACACATCCTGGGAGGATCTGCCCTGTGAACCGACCTCACCACGTAAGAGTGAAAATAGTAGGAGCCCCAGCCCCCCGGATGTGGCAGACCCCAAACATGGGAATCAGCTGCTTCCAGAAACAGGAAGGAAAGGGTGAAGGCTGTGGGGACCAGTGGCTTGAACAGGGGTGCCAGGCCTCAGTGAACACCTGACTGGCTCCTTCCCTAGCTACCTCAGCAGCTCAAGGTCCCTGAGGCCTCCAGATCTACTCTTCAAGATCTGGCTGGCCCTGCTGGCCATGGCAGTTATGCTAGTGTGGCTGCAGGCATGAAGCATGTCCCTGGAATGGCCCGTGGACATGACCTGCCCCACTGGCCATCTGTCACCCAGCTGACGGTTTACCTCATGCCCAGCAGCAGGATGCTCCCCTTCCCAGTCCTGTCCTATGCTTGTACCCAGAGCACATGGCCAATCAACATGGAACAGACAGAAAGTGGTGACCCCCGTGGCAGGCTTTGGCAACACAACTCTTAATTGTGAAGATGCTGGGCTTGCTCCCTGGGAAGATAGCCTGGCTTGGCATGGAGGGGGCTCACCTTGAAGGGAGAGGTTGCATGGCCCTGAAGCCCCCAGATTAGTGTAGCCTAGTGAGGCCACTGCTTGGCTGCAGCACCCTGGGCTCCCAGCATCCATAGGACATTGTACAGGCTGTGTTCTCTACCAGCGTTTCTAGTTCTGTTTTTCCCAACATAGAAAAGGGCACATTCTGTGCTTGAGCTAGGTCCCAGGCATTCAGGATGCTGACACTGACCTGGCAGGCAAGTCATGAGGCCAAGGGCCAAGAGGAGGCCACTGAGTGCTGAGGATGGGGGACAGGGCTGCCCTGTTGGGGCACATTTCAGGTGTCAAAAGTTCACACTCTGAAACAGTTGAGCCCCATGAGATGTCCCAGTGGCATGGCCACTCAGATTCCTCCCAAATGGGCCCACAAGGGATCAGGTGTCAAGTCACCCTCAAACTAGAATGGAAAGTAAACAAGAAAGGTATCCGGAGTTGTTGCTCCCATGGTCTGCTGGGGGTGCACCTGTCCCTTGTCCCATGTCTGACTGCCTGCTGCTGCAGATGATAACCAAAAGTGAGGGGCTCTAGTCAATGCTGGACAACAGAACTTAACACCTGGGTTCAGGTGGGCAGAACCAAAAATGTCATCCTGTGCCCCTGAGAAGAGCCCTGAGTAGGGATCCCAGGGGGTAGTGCCCAAACCTGCAGCACTGCCTCCACCTGCTATTCCCCAGTGCCTAGACTGTCTCCTTCAAGACACAGCCTCAGTAGTCTCAGCAGCTGATTTGGAGATCAGCTTGTCACCTCCAGCACAGGGACCCTTCACGGGGTGGCACCTGACAGCCAGGTTTTTATTTCTTCCAACAGAAAAACAAGGGAGCACACATTGGGCCAGTGAAGGTGCTGACATGGGCAGAACTGGTGAGGGGTCTCATCCTACAACCAGCAGGGGAGGATGGGAGGTCCACGCCAGCTCCTCCAAGTGGGACAAAAAGAGAAGTCAATGTGATGCCTAGGGCACAGGACGGCTGCAAGAGAAAAGGCTAGGCTGGCTTGGGGCTCCTGACAGAGGTGCCTAGTAATGGCCATAGAGGGGCAGGAGGGCAGTGTCTGAGGAACACTGTGGAGTCCCCTCCAGCATGTGCATCACACACAGGGCCAATCTCTTAACACTAGTAACCTCCAAATGAGTGTGGATCAAAAGTCCCGCTGGTGTGTACCTGGCTCCCCAGAGCTGGTCAGAACTCAGTTCAGATTGAGTGTCCCTGGGAAAGGGCAGGCCCAGGCAGCAGGTATAGACCTGGCTGCAGCTGCCTGTCGCCCTCTGCCTGCTCCTGCAGGGAGCCAAGACAAGCAGGCTGCCAAGCTTTGCCAAATGGTGGAGTGAGCTGAGGGAGTGGGCAGCTGCCCTCCTTGGCAGGTGGACAGGTCAGGCTGCTCAATTCCTGCCCTACTTTCTAGGAAATCTAAGGCACCAGTGCTTCACAGAGGGACACAGAGCTTGGGGGCCTACATCCTCAAGATGCTTAACCAAGGGAGAAGGGGTTCTCAGAACATCATGCACAATACACCTAAGCAGAAGGGTGTGTGGACCCCAGCTATGTGTATCAGAGCCTAGTAGGGAGCACCCTGGTGCCTGCTCCAACCAGCTACCCAACACCCACAGGCTGAGCAAGGATAAGAATGGTCAGTGTTCACTCAGCTATGGAGAATGCACACCCTCAGATCCCAACACTCTTCGAGACTGAAGCAGAAGGGTCACAAGAGTTCAAATCCAGCCAAGGCAACTTGGCAATATCCTGTCTCAAAATAAATTTACGGCTGCAAGGGGCTGGGCATCTAGCTCAATGGCACAAGCACCTGCCTGGTGAGGAAGTGAGTTGGTTCTCCGGAAACAAAAACAACCCCCCCCCCCAAAAAAAGGGAAAAAATGGCTGGGGATGTACCTCACTATGAAGGTCCTGGGCTCAATTACCAGTACCATGAAAAGGAGGCAAGACAGGGAAAAAAGGTCAGTTTTCACGTATTAATCCAAACTCACTGAAAACTCTCAACTGATGAAGTAAGGACCACACGGATGGGGCAGGGAAGAAATGTAGAAGTCATTATGAATTTATTATTTACACAATTGTTAAAGTACACAAATACAGTGGTAGTACAAACGCACAGCTCAGAGACTGGTCACCAAGACACAGGTTGATACACACATTCTAACTATGTTTCCTGTAAGTGTGATGGGGATTAAATACGGGCAAGAATGTCACAAGCCACCCCCTCGGGGGCCCAGGCGGGTCCACTCCTAGAGCAGCCGGCAGCTTCAAGTTGCGTGCGGCACAGTATTCGGAGGCTGGCGCTGCTGGGGACCATGGCTATTTACAATGGGCTTGTGTATAAGGCTGCTGCCACCCCTACCCGCTCACTGAAAGGGTGAGCCCAACACTGACCGAGCAAGGGGCTCACAACCATGGACACTTCAACCTCATCGGACCCACCTGAGCTCCTAATGCACACAGACACACAGCCTTCCTGCTCATGACCCTACACCCCTAAGTATTAGCAGAGGAACCAGCTCAGGATTCAGAGGAGCAGCCAAAGGCTCAGACAGACAGATGGCTAGGGCAGCAAAGGGCTACACCCCATGATGTGCCACCACACAGCAGCAGTGGCCCCAGGGCCAAAGTTCTGTGCTAGGGGTCTCTGGGTTGGGAGGGAAAATCCACGGTGGCACCATTAGCCCCTCCAAGGGCACCTGGGCCCTGGCAGAACTTTCTCCATATGCTGGCAGAAATGGAGGTGGTCCCACCCACACTGTATTGTATCTAAATGGTTGCTTAGGTCCACTGCCATCTCCATGGAGTAGTACACGTGGTGGACACAGCCACAGGTGGGGAAGAACATCTGAGAATCCTGCCAGAGTCAGAGCAGCATGGCCCACCGGGCAGCCATAGCTTCCCCACAGACATCCAGCTGAAGGGTACAAAGCACGTGGCATCACAACTTTCTGTAGGTGAAGGTTCTAGATTTAGGTGGGCAGTCACCTGCCTCTTGGCACCTCTGGGTGGGGTCCCTTTAGCTAGTGGCCTTTCTGGGCAAACCTGGCACCCAGGACAACCTGCTCCCTGGCTTTGAGCAGGCAAAGACACAGACCGAGTGTCAATCTGCATGGCAGTCTGTACAGTCTGTTCAGAAACTTCCCAAATTCATGAAGGCAACAAACACTACCAAAACACCATACACAACCCCCGCGTCTCTGAGTCAGAGATCAAAAACGCATGCTCCTCTTTAATCTGGGTCCCCAGTATACTCTGGGCTCCTCTTTAATCCAGACCCATGTCCTATGGGCCCACAAGGCCTCTGTACCCGACTCTTAGGAGTATCTACATCCTCGCAGCCTCTGAGCAGAAGGCACAATGCTCCGTGTGATACACTGGCCATCCTGGCTCTGTAGCCGCGATTTCCAGTGCTCGGAACACAGCAGGTGTTTCAGCCTACAGAAAGGAAGGGTGAGCGGGCCAGAACCAGGCTGCAGGGCTGTGACAAGCACGCACGCGCACATGACACACACACACACACACACACACACACACACACACACAGAGCTTCTGATGAAACGTTCCCTTGCCAGACTGGACAACACAACAAAGAAAACAGAAACCAAAACACACTTCCTTGGTGTCTGTGCCCCTCCTGACTCCCCACAGACACAGTGGGCCAGTGTCCGTCTCAGGAGTCTGTAAAAGTCAACATCTTTCTTAAGACCGCAAAAACAGACGAGAAAGAAACAATAAAAAGACAGATTTCTTTACACAGATTTAAGCCAGTAATTTTTAGCAAAATGATACAAAACTGTCTTAACCAAGTAGAAGAAGACTGGTAGTCGCAGTGGGATCGCAGGGAGCGCAGGTCGGCCACCACTGGAGGGGTGGAGAGGCTCGTGGCAGGGAGTTGGGGTCTCTGCAATGTCGCCCACACTCTCTCGTCTTCCCAGCCCTGTAGTAACTGAGCTTCTGTAGGGGCCGCGGTGCCAGCCCCTGGCGGTGGCAGCTCTTGGAGCCTGTCCATTTAGTCTGTATTTGGATTCCCCACGAGTGTCGCTGGGTGAGTGGCCTGGAGAGCTCCCGGCGTGAACATTTCGAGTCTAGACCAGGGGGCGTGTCACTAGTAAAGCCATTGGTAACAGAGTAGATCAGCCATGCATTGTCTGCCCTTCACAGCAAAAAGGAGAGTTCTCATCGGTGCACGACAGACTGAAGACCACTGGAAGCCACCCGACCAGGAATCTGTCGGAGCCAAAGCACAGAAGAAGGTCAGCATGAGGCTAGGGTAACAGCCAGCCAGGCGCTGGGGACAGATACCAATCATGGAGCCTGCAGAGGAAAGGACACACTGCCGCCTGGTCCCCACCTAGACGCCTGCACCTGCGGCTGCACAATGGGACTCCGCAGCCAGGACACTGCCGAGCAGAACAAGTGACAGCGAGAAGGGGAAGGAAGAAGAGGCATGCAAGCAAGGAGCACGCAGAGATGATCCTGAGAATCCGCGGGCAGACATGGCGTTCCCAGCGTCCCTTCCTGTAAAGTAACTAGGTGGTTTGAAAACAGAAATCCCTCTGTGGGGAAGACACCAAAGCAGTCCTTGCCCATATGCTTCCAAGAGTGTGAGCACTTAAAACTGCAGCATGACACCTCTCAGAAGCTCAAGCCCCTGCTGGAAGGCACCACTGAGTGGCTGACAAGAAGGGCGCTCAGGGTGGACAACCAGCCATGCACCGGCGCAGGGAGCTGTGGCTGTGGCTGGATGGGTTAATACAGACAGTAGCTGCAAGGATGAGATGGCAAGGCTGGGACCAAGTTTGGAAAGAAACACAAAATGAGGACAGATAAATGAGAGAGGAAGAGGGGTGACTAAGTAAGCCAGGATGCGGAGAGACCACCAGGAATCTCAACGAAGCAAGAGCTCAAGAGCCCCAACACTAAGCATGGCGCTACTCAGCTGAGCACAACAGACATAAGAACCCAGTACAGCCCAACAGGGCAGCTGGGGGGAGGGTAGTAGAGAAGGGCAGACCTGGCCAGTACCCAGAGCAGAGGGCAGCGATGGCACACCAAATGCAGTCGCAGGGAGGCCAGAGGCCAAGGGCACAGCAGGACTACCCCCTAGGGTCACTCCATCCAGAGATTGAGGATGGTTCTCCCCATCACATGGGGCGCTGGCTGCTGCTGCTCTGGAGCTCACATGAGAAGAACGAAGCGGAAAAAGCCTCACTACACCTCCAGCACCTAGCATGCAAGCCTAGCCCACCTGCGAGCCTGTGCAATGGGGAGTGGTCTGCGAGCCCCACCGTGAGCACACTCACCCAGTGCTGCCTTCCGACGCAGACGAGCAGCTACTTGCCGTGGTGTTCGAAAGGAATGCTATTCTGAGGTGGGGAAAAGACATCGGTTGGTAAGCGCCCCGATGGCCAGACCAGCACGCGAGGCCCCAGCCCCCTGACGCCCATGTCAGGCCTAGATCCAGGTGTGCTTTGTCTCCTCAGCCAGCACCGCAGACACTGACAGGTACCACTCAGGGACCTCTGGGAATAGCCAGCCTCTCCACACAGCTCACCTGCCTCTCATGAGTGGCCTTCTAGAGTGGCCAGTGCTCCTCCTCCAGAATTCACACGGGCACAGGACAGCCCCTGGAGCAAGTAGAGGGGACAGCACCTCCCAAGACACACAGATGGGTCACACTTCCTCACTCATAGGCGCATCAGGCTGCTGAACTTATTTTTGGGAAGGGTCCAAACTCAATAAGCCACTGAAAGGAATTAACTGGACAGAGAAGGCCCGTCTCACAGGGAGAAAAAAACCTAAATGGATGCACTGACCAGATGCCCAGCAGTTCCAAGAACTCAGACCAGGAAATGTGGAGATTGTGGTCCCCTCAGAGGGCTGGCTAATGCAAGGTGCCCTTCAAAAGGGAAGGAGCCAAGAAGGGAGCAGCTGGCCTCCTGTAAGCCCAGGAGGGGGCAAGGTACTGCACCACCAAGGCCACTGAGTGACCTGTGTGATGCTGTGGTGTCACTGCACGTGGGCAGGGCAATGAGGACAAGGGAGCCCCACGGAGCTGCTGTGCTCAGCTGCTGCACCTTCACTGATGCACCAGCCCCTACAGGGGCTGGGAGGCAAAGAACGGCAGCAGAGGAGGAAGCTCAGCTGGCGCAGTGTGGCTGCCATGACCCTGTGTCTACACAGGCAGGGCCTGCTAATCCAGGGCCCACCTCTCTCTGGGAGAGTGAGAGTGGCAGCCAGAGGACTACAGGAGCTGGAGCACCTAGTACCCCGGTCTTCTAGCTTTTAAAATGCCAGAGCAGATGCATGGCAGTGGGTCTGGAAAGCACTGACAGAGGGAAGAGCTCTTGCCCTGGACAAGCACACTGGAGCAGGTGATGCCCTGCTTCTGGGCCCAGTGAAACTTCCAAGATAGTGACGAAAGAGAAGCCAACCCTGGAGAGGGTCAGCACATGGGGATACAGCAGCTTGGATACAAACAGTCTAGAAACCCAGGGTGGCCAGAGGAAAGGCCAAAGTGCTGCCTCTGGAAGACAGATACCCTCCCCTCCCCAAGTTCACACTCATGTTACAATTCTTCAGTGCAAGCATGCCAAGCCAGCAGACAGTCTGACCCAAGAGTGCCACACAGAAGGAACGGTGAAGGAAGGGCCTTTCTTCCTGTGACCTCAAGGCCAAGACAGCTACATAGCAGCGAAGGGCTGCAGCATTGCCGGCATCCCCAGGACCTTTCGACTCACTCATTTCTTTCAATAACCACACACACACACACACACACACACACACACACACACACACACACACACACAAGAGGTTACCTCCTCCCTAGTCCATGCTTGCTAGGCAGCTGACATGAGTGTGTCCAAGGCCACCAGAGGCAGGACAGTCACAGACAGCTCTCACCCAGACCTACATGTGTGAGCCAAGGGACTTGCTCATGACACTGGTTGGACCCCAGATAGCCCGTACTTCAAATAACCCTCTGGTCAGACGCAGCAGTGAACTGGGGACACAGCCCAGACTGACAGCCTGGGTTCAATGGGGGACAACACGTATACATACACCTCTCACATTCCCTGCATATCCACTTTTATTAGGAGACAACTACCACACAATGAAACATGTCTAGCTAATCAGAAATGCTCAGGGCTGGGAATATATAGCTCAACGGCACAGCACCTGCCTGGCAAACACAAGGTCTGGAATTCGATTCCCGGTACCAAAAAATAAAAAATTGTTCACTTAAAGATCACCTGTGTCAGTGGCCCTGCTGCTTGCCACAGCAGGCCCCAAGAGACCCTGTACCCTGAGCAGTGGCCAACCTGGGCCCCTCCTTCTTAGTAACCAGACAGACATGATGGCATGACAAAGGACTGATGCTGCTGCCAGCACATTTCTACCACAAGCTTCTGTTCACTGGTGAGACTCCTCGGGACCCAGGGACCCCTTGACATGTTTGCTGTTCACAGAAACAGCACCTGAGAACTTGTCCTTGACACCCTCACCCCACCCCTTCAAGCAGAGAACTCTCAAATTTATCCGAGAAAAAGAAACTGGTATGTTTGTTCAGAGAAGTGTATTAGTGAATGCACAACACCAACAATAAAAGCAGAGTGAGAAGGGAGGACACAGAGGAAAAAAGGCTGCAAAGAAGGAGCCTCTGTCCCGTATCCCAGTGTTGTAGGCCTGGTTCCCTAAACACCCCTTCATCACAGACAGACAGGGACAGAGAAAGACAAGCAGCTTGCAGCCCACAGGAGCCCTTCCTATGGAGCTGCCCACTCTCCAGACCTTCACTCCTGGCGAGCAAAAACGAGGGAAGAAGCCAAAGGCCATTGCCCCTACAGAGTGCAAGCAGGCCTGTGGAGTCCAGCCTGCAGGGTGGTAGCCAGAAATCAAGCAGTACAAGAGAAGGGTTCCTACAGTATGCTGCTACGTCATTGAGAGACCTGGGATGGAGGCCCTTAGCAATTTAGCTGGCTCAAGCTCCAACCAAAAGCAACACACAACTAGGAGCGCAACTTCACTCACAGGGAAGAAATCCTCACAAATGCCAAAGAGGAGGAGGAAAGGAAGGCATCAGCCCCTTCACAAGGCTCACCCTACTACCAATTCTGGCCTGGATGTCAGACTGGTCCACACAGGGTGACACCCTCTCTACCTCTGCGCCTGGATGGCCCTGACCTGCATACCTGTGAGGTGGACATGCGAGAGGTATCTTGTCGGCCCGTGAGATCAGACGAGGAGACATTAACTGGGGCCCCGCGGTGCAGCCGCATGCTCACTTTCCGCTCTCGCTCCATGCCGGAGACGGGCCGAGGAGAGGTGTTCGCTGCAAAGGAGAAAGAGCATGGACCCCGAGGAACCCTGGCAGCTCCCCAATGCGCTGCAATGGCTGATAGTTCTGGTCACTCTACACACAGATCACAGCAGTGGCCAGTCTCAACCAATGCCCACTTTACTGGGCTCTGGAAGGCTGCCCTCTTCCCAGGGGCAGCACCGACACCTGTTCACCAGTATAGGAGCACCAGCTAGTTCAGGAGTACCAGCTGGTGGTGGGAGCATACCCCACGGCCCTAGTACCCAGGATATGGGGGACTTAGGAGCGAGGACTTGCAGGTGCACGGGGCACATGTACTGTGCCTAAAAAATTCCACAGAAGCCACTGCCAATACTCACACCAGCTTTCAAGAGCTCAGCCCTTCACAGTATGGCCCCTGCTAGAGGGTGCTTCCCAAGGAGCCCTGGGGCCCCTGCTAGAGGGTGCTTCCCAAGGAGCCCTGGGTCCATCTACCTGCAGGATCAGAACTGACTGAAGTGGGGGGGCAAGCTGCATCAATCACCAAGTGGACCTGCCCAGGCGCCATGAAAGGCATGCTAGGAACTGCACTCACCCGTGTGTGAGGTAGGGGTCAGGGGCGTGGGGGGGGCCACTTCCTGGGTCCCCCGCAGGCGGCCAGAAGCTGTAGAAGGGAGGCCACGGGTGGCTGGATTCCGGGAGTGTCTCAATCGCTCCTCTCTGTCCCGGCGTTCCCGCTCAGCATCATCTGCAGCCCGGCTGGCACCCTGAGGAGGGAAAGGAGAACAAAATGAAACAGAATTTGGATTTGGTGCGAAGCAGCCCAAAGCTCCTGGCTTTCCCCAGTACCCTGGGATGAGACTGCCCTGTAAAGTAGTCTGCAACAGCACAGCAAGTCAGAAAACAACACTGCCCTGCACAGGGACCATTGATGGCGCAGTCCACAGATGTGGTTGGGATGCCTCTTGTAACTCCCAGCAGACTGCCATGGCCACAGCACGGAGCCTCTCTTTGTCTACATGCTGCCATGGAGGAGAGCTCGAGCCAGCTAGAGACAGGAGTGCAGGCTCATGGAGGGTCCAACTAGAATCCGGACCACTGGCCTGTGCCTACTGTTGCGACATGGGTATATCAGCCCTGCCTTGGACATACAGGCCACAGTGAGGCTGGCCGTCAGGTTTACACTAGACCAACCTGACATGTGCCACATTCAATCTCAGCAGCCACTTAACAAAGTCACACAAGTATCGAGGTTTACTCCATCACCAATACTGCAGGCAGGGGGTCTGCAAACCACGCTCTATGGTTGCCTCTTGGTACCCCTGTCTCAATGGACAGTTACACCATTCACTGCCAGGTGGCCCTCAGCTTCTGTCAACCTACATGGCTGGGCTGAGGGGGTACAAAGCTGACACACTGGTACAAAATGAATCACTTGGTCCTTTTTAGAGCAAGACTGTTACCTGCAACAAATCTTGGGCATACTGGAACCATTGTATCGAAGAAGACGGACAGTGGAGAAGACGGACACTGAACAATCTGCAGACAGTGCAGATCCTATGGGGTGGAGGGTACTCTCTTTCCAGCACTAGGCCTGGCCAGACGTCCCTGGTTTACCCTATCCCTGTCACAAACTAGAGGTATGGCACCACTGCCTGGCAAGACTTCTGGTTTGCATCTCTGAGAAGGCAGTTCTGCTTCTCTGTTAGAAGATGCTCTCACCTGCCAAGGGTACCAATGCCTTTTTTCTTTTGTCTTTTTGAGACAGGGTCCCACTATGCAGTTCAGGCTGGCCGTGAGCTCACTTTGTAGCCCAGGCTGGTCTCAAACTTGCAATGATTCTCTTGTTTCAGCCTCCCAATGCTAAGATTACAGGTATGTGCCTGTACCAACCATACCAGGCTGAGGGTGCCAATTTTTATCCTAACCTACAAAAATGACTTTAATCAAAGACTTGGAATTTCTACAGAAGCTCAATTTTCTGGCCCAGAGGCTCCAAGGTCTCCTTGCCCACACCCATGGGCGCTGACATACACATCTCTGGTGGACAAACTATAGTAATGAAAGAAACCAAACACACAACTCGCCTACAAGGTTCCGATGCAGGCTTGACACCAGGCTACCTGCCCTGAACTCAGGTGACTACTAAGTTCCCCCAAGTGCACTGTGCAAGCAACACACCATGTCGCCACGGATGGCTCAACTCACAAGGCTCTGGGAACCAGTGACAGCTGTTACAACAGAACAGCCATTCAACTAAGGAACACTAAGCAGCCACAGGGGTGTGGCCTCTGGACAGACCTGCTCATGGCAGACTCCAGGACCTCTGCTGCCCAAATCTGCGACCTCCATCAGCCTCTCTGTGTGTCCTAAAATCACCCTCCTTCTTGGTACCTTGAGTCAGGCAAGTAAGAAGCCTACTCAGGCTGGGGTCCTACCCTGTGTGTTCAGCATTTACAGCCCAGTGAGTGCACACTGGAAAACCCAAGGCTTGGGCCATCCCTGTCCCACAGGACTGAGCTGGCAGTGGCACTTACAAACTTGAGCATGTTCCAGTCGAACACATAGTCGTATGAGAAGCCCTGGCGATGGAACAGATTCCTGAAGAGCTGGCGCAGGTAGGAGTAGTCAGGCTTGTCATCAAAGCGCAAGGAACGGCAGAAATTCAGGTACGTGGCAAATTCGGCTGTAAAACCAGAAACTTAGCTGTGAGCAATTACTGACTGTGACTCAGACTAGGGTCTTTAACACACATTTACCCCTGCATCTCCACATGGAAGGTGTGAAACACAATCTGGGGCACAGATTAGTGGCAGAGAAAGCAACTGCCCCGCACACAAATAGCTCTATGGTTCAAGTCTACAGAAAAAGCACTGCAAGTTAAGGGTGGTGGGGTGGGGGATGGGGGTAAGGGGTGGGCAAAGTGAAGTAAATGTTTTTTGTTTTGGTATTGGGGGAGGGGGTGGGTTTGACTCAGGGCCATTCTACCACTCAGCTACAGCCACAGTCCTCTTTTTAAAAAAAATTTTTTTTAACTTGTTTCAGTCTATGTAACGGCCTATCTCACAGAAAGGAGAGTGCTGGAATACGTTAGACTTTCTTGCTAGCAAGCTCAAATCGTGACAGACAGATTATTTTGATAATCTGTCACAGAGTGTTGCTTGCACTGTATTTTAAAATTTTGAGACAATGTTTCACCAAGTTGTCCAGGCTGTTTTAGCCTCCCAAGCAGCCGAGATTACAGACATATGCCATCACACCCAGCACAATTTTATGTTCCCTAGGGTCCTTATCCCAAGATCGGTCCCATAGCACACAGGGATATTCATTCCCTGGGTTATAGCTTTGGAGGCTGCGGTCAGTTCAAACAAATGGCAAGTACAGACAGCGTCCTCTCCCTTCTAACTGGGCAGGCATCTCCCAGGCTTGGTCCTGCCTCACTCTTACTCTCCTGGGCTTCACTGAGCACCTCCACAGAGGGGCTCTCAGAAAGAACGGGGGACAGACCATTCCCTCCATACACACAGATACCCCTGTCCTGCTACCCTTCTTGTAGAAGATGATTCATCCTGTCCCAAAAACCTAGGCTGAGCATCTCCATCCAGAGGCCAGCTCACACAGGTGGCAGCTGGGCGGGCAGTGAGGGGACTCACAGGGATAGCCTTTGCACAGCACTTCAATGGGAGTGGACATTTTCTTCTCACTGATTCTCTCATACTTTTGCCTCTTGGTGGCAGCCTTCAGCCCCTGCCAGGGGAGAGAGCCCAGGTTGAAGTACATCAGCACGTACCCCAGAGACTCCAAGTCGTCCCTTCGAGATTGTTCTGGAAAGCAAAGGGAAACATGTGAAGGATGGTGTACGTGTGTATGGATAAAAGCAGAAGACCCAGCACGATGATAGAATAAATAAATGGACGCTACTTCAACAGCTGTCCCTCCTGTCTATGGAGGAAATCCCCAAACACCCTGACCAAGCAATGTCAATATCTTAGGTGACTGCTGGGAAAGCCAGCCTCACCTGTCACACCTGGCACAACAGTTGCTGATGCCAGCCTGTCTGCCCAAAGGTGGGACAACAGCCCCCAGACCCATAGGTCTAAGCACCTGCATGCTCACAAGCCTCAAGTCACTGAGAGGCTGGCGTTTCCCCGAACTAAGGGATAGACATGTCCAAAGGCACCCCAGGTCAGCAACCGTACACCCAAGGCTCACCGATTCCAAGGTGTGTGTTGATAGAGGCATACCGCGCCGTGCCTGTGAGATTCTTATTCTCTCGATAAGGGATATGCTGGTGGGTCCTTGCATCCCGGTACTTCTTGGCCAACCCAAAGTCGATGATGTAGACCAGGTTGCCCTTCTTTCCCAGCCCCATGAGGAAGTTATCTGGCTTCACATCTCGGTGGATGAAGTTCTTTGAATGAATGTATTCGATACGACTAATCTACAAACAGAAGCAACAGCAAGGTTCAATCCCAGAGCAGCAATTGGTTAAACAAATTCTGCTCTCTCTGCACAGCAACAGGCATAGTAACAGAAACAGCAACCGAGTAACTTCTCCCATCAGGCCAACCCGTGTGCACTAAGCCCTTGAGCTAGTGGGTACTTGAGAGAGGAGTGCTTACCATCTGGTCAGCAAGCAGCAGAACAGTTTTGAGGCTGAATTTCCTTGAGCAGAAGTTGAAGAGGTCTTCCAGGCTCGGACCCAGGAGCTCCATCACCATGACGTTGTAGTCCCCTTCGGCGCCACACCACCTGATGGTGGGGATGCCCACTGGACAAGAAACCAAACAAAGCTGCTCAAGCCCAGGCTAATGTACCCCACACCTCCATTCCACACAACACAGGCAAGAGGAGTGGGATGGGGTCACAGGGGTCAGAGACCCCACACATGGAGAGATAACCCGGAGCAGACTCTGATGAAGGTGCTAACAAGTCATAGTGGGAAGTGATAGGATCTGAGCCAACTTCACAACACAGGAAAGAGAAGGCATGTGCCTAAGAAAGCAGCTCAGGTAGCCAGGACCAGAAGAGCCAGGTGAAGACAAGGCTATACTGGAAAGAAAGATCCAGAATATAAGGCTGAAAACAGAAAAGAAAGCAGCTCCTATGGTTTGGGTAGGAGAGGAAGAAAATGTTGATAAAGAAATATGCAAAGCAATGAAATTTATACAGCAACCCAGACCCTAGAGTTTGTATCTGGATGCCGGGCCCAAGTGTGTAAATGCAGATATGGTGTCTTACTGGGACTAAAGGTGTTAATAATAGAAACTCCTCCCGGGTGTGGATGGTATTAATCAGTCAGACTGTATCCTGGCTGGAGTAATAAGGGACAGAAAGAAGGAAGCCTTCTACCTGCCACATCATGAACTGTTTCTCCTCCATGATGTCCCTCTTTGCTGTCCTGCTTTGGAACAAGCCAACTATGAACTGTAAGTTGGAATACAAACTGTAAGTTGGAATAGATCTTTCCTCCTTTAAATTTGTGATCGCCACATATTTTGTTCCAGCAATGGGAAAAGTAACCAAGACACTAGGCTTCAATCAGACTATCAGTGGAAATGAGAAGATAGGATAAATTGTAAAGAAAGCATCTCATGAGCTAGAACCTCAAATGAGGGAATAAATTTGAAAATGTCTTTGAGACATCAGATCTGAAGACGTAATGCAATTCAACAACCCAACTTTTGAGAAAACAGGAAAGCCTGGAGCACCTGGGTCCCGCTGTGCCTCACCAGGTAACCATCACTTCTGCAACCCCTGTCTACCACCTCTGCTTGGAGGCCAGGTGTGTGTGCTGTAGTCCACCTTGTCCACAACTGAATCTGTCATGTGGATGGTTTGGGTCTGCTTTACAATGGCATCACCAAGCATAGTCTCAGGTGTGTCTGATGTGAAGAATCTTACATATGCAACTCTTTTCTCTTTTCCTTCTTCAGCTATATACTTGAACATACAGTTTCTGAGTTGCATAATACAAATCATTCAGTTACAAAAGATATGTAAGATAAAAGTCAAAGTGTTTTCCAAGATGGATAGCCTGCAGCAGAAGAATCTGTTGATACTGGGCAGCACTGACCTCAGTCTACTTTCCCTTCCATATGGAAACAGGCCGCACCTGTGTCACCTCTGCCAATGCACCTTCTTCTGCTAATTTTAAGGACAGGAAAATTTACTGAAGAGAAGGAATGGGGATTAGGAATAGATCCTGAGAGACAGGAGGGATCCCAAGTGGTTTGCCCTCTTCTGCTAATTTTTTGTCAGTCTATCCTTTTCCTGTTTACAGTTTTATGATAACATCTTAGTATCCTGTATTAAGAAATTCTTTCTGACCTTGGAGTCAGAAAGAGTATTTTCCTGTATAAGTGTACCAGTCACTTTTACTTCCAATAGACAGTGGGACAGGAACCCAAACTACTCTCACATGAAATTAACAAGGAAAAAAACCCCCAAAATGAAAAGTGATTATGGTAGCCATTGTAGATCTCCTTGTATTTTATTTATAAGTCATGCACCATGTTCATCCTTTTGTTTTAATTGACTATTTTGTTTTTTGGTTTTATTCTCTTCCAAAAAAAGACAAAACCAAAAACAACAACAACAAAAACCCCACAAAACACAAAAAACTGTGACAGGCTGCTCCCCGGCCTGACATTGGCAATCACACTGAGGGCCTCTTTCAGGTCAGACACATGCCTATTGCCGGGCTACATCCCCAGCTCCCTTAAGAAAGCTTTTTGGGTAGTATCTGGGACTGAACATTCATACTGAAGTACATCTCTAGCGCTCTTACTTTTTCAGACAGGGCTATGCTAAGTCGCCCAAGGGTGGGCTCAATCTTGCGCTACTTCTGCCTCAGCCTTCTGGGTAGCTGGGATCACGGGTATCCATCATAATGCTCAGCTTTGGAATGATGGTTTCCAAGGCACTGGACCTTCGCAGAGGACACTGTTGCCGGGGAGCCGACCCTTCCCTAGGGTCCCGCTCTTGCCTGAGTGTCATCACAAACACAAGAACCAAACAGGCTAATATAACTTGACTTCCTCCCTAAAACACAACTAAGGGGCTAAGCAATACAAACCCAACACACAGGAGCATAAAACTCTCAATGCTTGGCACCCAGGGGTCACAAGGCATGCAAAGACTGTAATTTTAATGAGAATCAGGCAATCAAAATTGACCCAGAGTAGAACGGAAGGGAAGGGTGTTAAAAATTTTAATCCTCTGGTGTGGTGGTGCATGCTAAGGCCGGGGGCCACTGTGAGCAAGGCCAGCCTAGTCTCTACAGCAAGCTCAAGGTCAGTCTGAATTACACAGTAAGACTACCTCACAGAACAGAACAGAACAGAACACAAAACACAAACCTAAAAAATGATCATAATGTTAAGTGCACCCAATATCATGGATATAAAAAAAAGAAAAGAGGGGAATAAGAGCAGAAGAACCCACAGATTCAGCTCTGCGAAGCATGGAACCATGAAGCAAACAGGGCTGACCCTGTTGTGGGCAGAGCCCCTTTGCCAGCAGCCCCGTGGGGGTGGTGAAGAGTGAGCAGCCTTAAGGAGAGTTTGGACCTGACGCCAGCCGGGAAGCATGCTGGGAGCAACAGTTTCTCGGCCGCCATCTTCCTGGCAGGTTCTTTCTACAGACAGAAGCAGAACTGCAGACTCACCTGCTCCCCCCACTCCAGCGTGTCACAATCCATCCCTGTCATCACTTGATCTCAAGTCTCAACTGTTCAAAGCTGGCCAACAGACACGTCTCTAAGTTTGGCCTATATTCCAACAGGGGCCTATGTTTTAGGGGTGCATCTTTCCAGCCATGTCGCAGAAATCCCCGGCCCCAGTCTTGGGGCTGGCCACTTTTCCAGGCAGCCTCTAAGCAGAGACAGGCTCTCAGAAACCTCACAAGGGTCTGGCATGTCACTGCCCCTAGGCCTGGTATGCAGCTGCCCAGCTTAAACTAGATAGACCTGTGCAGGTTTGGTATTTGCAGGGCCAACATCCCTCTCCTTTGGGAATGTGGAAATTACTCTTGGCCCTTAGGTCTTTATCTTTCACATAAGAAGTGCTGTTGCACTAAACGGAGTTTCACCTAAGTTAACAGCAACTCTGGGAGAGCTGACAGCTCGGTCTTCTTTCCGTGAACACAAGCAATCCCCATGTGTCCTCCAATAAAGCCTTTTCATGTTTTGCATAGTGTTCTTTTGTACCTTAAGATTTATTCCTAGGTACCTCCTGGGTCTCTTGTGTTTTTAAAGTTACACTACAAATTATTATTGTTGGTGTAATGAAATGAATACACTACATTTGATCTTAACCTTGTTCAACTCTGATTTCTTTTGTGTTTACTATGATAACAGTGTTATCTCTCATGGAGGTTCAAGGCTGGTAAATACAGTAGGAGCAGAAAGGCCCTGGCTAGCAGTTTCCTGCATCTTCTTCAGATGTGTGCTTCATCCTCAGCAGACAAGTAAAGCAGGAGGAAAGAGGCTCTAAAGCCACTTAGGACAAGGTGCCCTGTGACCGGTGGAGAACCCCTCAGTGACAGGCTGACCACTGTTACTCTGTGAAACACACACTTTATACAAGCAAAACCCACAATATAAACACATCTGTGCCTGGAAACTGCCGCTTCTACAGTAACGGCCAGGCGAGCAGGTGAGCAGACAGTCCAACAGTGCTGCACAGTTCCCAGTGGCTGCCGTGCCACCACCTGAAGACGCATCCCCTCACATGGTCCAGGTCCCCTCCGCACCTTCCGGAATGAAAACTAGTGCAGGGTGAGTACTGGCAAATGGTTTCCACTGTGACATGTGAAACATTTCAGTCTGGATGTGCACACTTGGTGTTAAGATAATTACAAATTTTCATGGAATTTTGAAAAATACAAATTTGCTGTGGGGTACAGAAACAAAAATTGAAAACCAGGGCTGTGAGTGCTAGATCACTTGCCTAGTATGTGTGAGCCCCTCGATTCAGTCCCCAGCACTGAGAAACAAAAGCAAAAACAGCCAATTCCTGAAGGAACCACCAACTCACCCCTGGGAAAGAAAAAAGGGCACTAGGGGCTGGGCATGTGTGTGGGCTCCATGGGGAGCCAGGTTTTTCTCAAGGCAGTGAAGGGTTGATGTATCTCCCCTTACACCCATGTGTCCTCAGGACAGAGACATTCTGATGACCAGTGTGAAAAATCCCTTCATCCTGGTCACCTGGATTTTATATGAAGATCTCACTCTCTCCTCCCCAGACTGCATTGAGTACTCTAGTGTCAAACAGAAGTAACAAGTGGTCTGAACCTATATTTTACACATTAACTGGAAAGAGCACCTATAATAAATAGCCTCTGGGTTTTATCTGGCAGTCACATACTGCTGGTAAAATCACTGTCCATCTGAGTCTTTCACCAACACACCCAATTTTAGTTCGTCTGCTATTTCATGTTTTTAATCAGTGGCTCCCACATTTTGGACAGGTGGAAGCTTCTGGGCCCAGCCTGAGGGTGCTGGAGCTTGTCTCTGTCTTTTGGAAAGTCAAAGCCACGTGAGCTCACAGCCTGAGGTGAAGACACTAGTGCCCCCTGCAAAGGGACGGGGCAGAGGGATGACAGCATGTTTCCTGAAGGCTTTCTCCACCCCACGCAGCTGTGACCACCAAGTGCAGCAGCTCTCACCAGGCCCTGATAGGCCACATCTGCAGTCCTGGGTAAGCTCTGTGCCACACATTTCGAGGAATGGGCTGTAGCCATCTAGCTTTTTCCACTTTTTCCTCCACCGTAGCCTGAGTCAACCAACATAAGCAGATGAGACCACCAGCATCAGAGGCAGGTGCTATCGCTTCTGCATTCACCTATACATGGTGGACAATAAATGAGCCGGGACAGCAGCAACACCTGGTGGTTTCTGGGCAAAGCAGATTCCCTAGTCCCGTATCTGCTGGCCCCCAATTTGGTCGTGGTTTGAATGTGTTCAACAAGCACTGCCAGAATTAAGTATGCTAGAACAAAATATTTTCTAAAATAGAGACCTCCATGGTCTCTGCAATTTATATAATTGGAGTAAAACCCAGGCCAGGCCTGGGAAATGGCACTCAAAAGGCCCAGGCAGGAGAAATCCTATTTTTGGGATCCTATCTGAATTTTAGAATCCCAGAGAAGGGCTATGGGAAAGAACAAGGGAGCCAATTCTTCCATTCTACATTAGAGGTCCAAGAAACAGAGCAGTATTTCCTACCAGGGCACACACAACCTGAGGACATTCCTGGTTGTCACAACTGAGCAACAACAGGAATCTACAAGATGTCCTGCAGCACAGAGCAAGCAGCAGCAGGGCCAGGGCTGAGCCCTGCTCCACCCAGAGTGAGCTGTGCAGTCGGGGCCGCACGTCTCAGCACACGTCTCTCAGGCTCTGGCAGGGGTTCTTCTTCCCAACCCTGCAGGTACCCAGCTCACAGTTTCCAAGGACATGGTGCTCCTTACCACGTTTAAGCCTGCAAGTCTCAAGTCGCTCCAGCAAAGATGAACCTTACCTTATCTCAGTCTATTCTGTTGGAAACTTAAAGCTATGCAGACACTCCCTCCTACCCCTGAAAGCCATCAGAGCACAGAGACCTGGCTGTGATTCTCTAGGCTGTCATCTGCCCCAAGGACACTTTGGGAGGGGGTTGTTGTACATAGGTCAGCTTTCACTGAGGGAAGACTTCCAAAGTCAAACCAAGAGCTCCGCCTTCCTACTACACGAGGGGCCAAGGCAGCTGTGCAGAGCAGGAAGGACTTCTGACAAGGGGTCTGCACAAAGCAGGAGCACACCACCTTTCAGCCTCCAGCCTTGTCCTAAATGGGTGCCGAGGGAGGCTGCACCTTAAGAAGGACTCATGCTTGGGCCCCCAGCCCTCTGTGTTGCTACGTCTCATGACTGAAATTCTCAAGTCAAATTCCCTCCTGCTCTATCAGCCAAGCTATCTTACATTCCAGAGAATTCTAAGAGAAAAATTCTGACCCCTTAACTGGTTTCCAAGGCCCCAAGGCCAGGTTTCACAGAATTGCAACATTGACTTTGCTAAAAAGGGCTATAGACATCACCACATTCAAATAAATTGTTTTATCCAAGAGAAAACTGGACTAAAAGAGGAGTCAGAAGGGACTACTCCAAAGCTATAAGCAAAGCATGTGACCCCACCATGCCACCCTGAAAAACCCACAGCTGGGCGTGGTGGCACACTTCTATAATCCCAGCACTTGGGAGGCTGAGGCAGGCAGATCGCTGCAAGTTCAAGACCAGCGTGGGACACAAAGCCCAAGGCCAGCCTAAACCACATAGTGAGACCCTGTCTGAAAGAGACCAAAAGTCCCCATAAAGTGACACACAGCACCACACTGGTGGGATCTGCTATTGTGGATCGTGTAGATAGCTAATATTTACTTTAAATTTTGCACAAAGCCTACATTTCAAAAATACTATTAACTAATGGGAAGTTAAGTAAAGTACTATTGTACAGAAAGCCTAAAAAAAAAAAAAAATCATGTTTTTGTTAGACAAACATTTCTGTGTCTAAGCCAGTCTCAATAAAGGCAGTGACAAATGGTCATAGGTATGGGCCAATATCTTTCCCTCTTCCTCTAAAACAAACCATATTCTGTGACTTGTGACCCATTTCAACAAATAAAGGACATACCTCCACCCTGCATCATTTTGTAGATTTTGCTCTCGATGTGGAGCTGAGGGTGTTTGGTCTTGACACATTCAAGCTTGATGGCAACCTCTTCTCCTGCAGCAATGTCCGTGCCTTAGCAAAGAATGAAGACCACAAACATTAATATCTGGCATGGATCACAGAACATTACAGGCCACTACAGAAACAATGAACACTGCCTCAATTTTCTAAGATGGACCAAATAATAGATAGACGCTTCTGCTTCCTGAGACATGAGGCCTCGGTGACAATCTGGGGAAAACCATCCTATCTGAATAGTACAGGAAAGTCTACCTGACATCCTATCTTCCACTCACCTGACCCTACTCCAGTTTGTCATCAGGGCTGCAGGGCCTGTCCTTTCTGTTCTGAACCTTCCTATTAGTCCTGTCAGTGGGGCTTTGCACTCATGCACCAAAGGGATACCATGAGAGTTTCAGGGCATCCTCCATGCTGCCTCGATAGGCCTCTGGGATATGCCCCAGGCTCCCTCCATAAGGAGGGCTGTTTTTTTTTTTTTTTTTTTTTGTCTTTTTCCTTTTTATCGATAATGGGGATTGAACTCATGACTGCCTGCTTGCAAGGCAGGCGCTTATGCCGCTGAGCTAAATCCCCAGCCCCAGGCTGTTTTTATCACCCTTCTGCCCAGCTGCAGCCCAGCCGGGCACAGCACCTACTGCACACAACTCTCGACAGCTGGGAAGTTCTCAAGTGGACTAAGTTTCTACACCCATCTGGGCTAAGGACTACGAAGACCCTCAACTAGCCAGGAGATGCTTCTTTCCCTTGCTGGACACCAGGTGAGAAGAAAGGACTCTTTCCCACACTCCAGTGGCACCACCGTTAAAGCACACACTGGGGATACAATTGTTAGCATGTGGCTAATACAGTAATGACTACCCTGTAAGTTCAGAAGCAAGAGTGCATAAAAACCTGTATGTTTTATGTGAAAATGTTGTATCTCCGCTTTTCTCAGTAAGGACCTGCAGATCCAAAAAACACCTCTCCTCTAGGATCACACAATATCTATGTTCCCGAGCCCTGCCTAGACCAAACTCCCTTCACTACAGGATGTATCCAAACCTCTGACAACACAAACTAAGTCTCAGGCTGTTCCGGCTTGTGTCTCGATGTCCCCCTAAAACCATGTGCGGTCACAGGTGGAGCTCTTTCAGAGGTAGCTGAATCTAGAATGTGTGACTGATTCATGGTGTAACACTACGATCAAAGGTGCTATAGTTAAGGGTGTGGGGTTACTGAATCAGTCCACTGAGTGGTGTGGCACTGCCCTAAACCTAGCACCTAGATAGACTATACAAGGGCAAAAAAACTGCTAAGGTCCCTTACGTGCTTGCTCTGCTACCTTCTACGGGCCATAAACTGTTTCTCCTTTGTGATGCTTGTCTGCCACACCACCCTGCCTTGGAGCCAGCCCATTACTACGGACTGAACCCTCTACAAACTGTAAGCTAAATAAACCTTTCCTCCCTTAACTTGTGAGTGCTAGGTATCTTGTCTCAGCAATGAGATAAGGGACTAACACACTTAGCCCTCCTCTCCCCTTAGAAAATACCTCCATCCTTCCCAAGAGTGTGGTTATTTGACAAGGAAATAACACAGGCTCCTACTGCCTGACAGACTCCTGGTGTGTGGGGGCCTGGTTAGCCAACCTAACCCTTGGCAACTCAGTTTCTTGTTTACCCAGATGGGGGAGGGGTCTGGCATCCATTCCACAGGGAACTGAGGAGATGAAAGGGTTAAGTTACACAGCACTGTGAGTTCCAGGTGAAAGGCAGAGCAAGGCTAAGCAAGCACCAGTATCACCTGTAATCCCAGCACTCAGGAGGCTGAGGCAGGAGGATCACTGAGAGTTCGAGACCGGCCTGGCCTAGGCCTGGGCTACAACGTGAGCTCAAGGCCAGCCTGAACTGCATAAAGACCCTGCCTAAACAAACAAATGAACAAGCCACAGAGGTGGCCCTTTCAGCCAGCCTACTGGGACAGCTGCAGCAGAGTATGTCGCTCAGCAGGTCTGGGCCCAGAGCCCACTGCCCACTGCAGATCTGTGGGAATGACTGTGTCTGACCACTGCGGGTGACCAAATTAAGAACTTTGACTCTTTAGGTCAAGAAGGAAGGAAGGAAGGAAGGACGGGAGGGAGGGAGGGAGGGGAGAAAAGGTAAGAGAAGAAAGAGGGAGGGGAGGAAGTAAGTGAGCCTTTCAGTACTGTATGCCTATAATCTCAACACTTGCCTGTAATCCCAGCTCTCAGGAGAGTGAGGAACTGAGGACCACTGAGAGTTCAAGGCCAGTCTGAACTGCACACAACCATCTCAAAAAAGACAAATAAAGAAAAGACAGACAAGCAGGCAATCCATCTTTTCTTTCTTGCCTATGATTGGGATTTCTATCCAATACAAGAGAATTGACTTTATTTAAAGTGTATTGTGCAGATGAAAAGTGACCTCCAAGTTCCTGTAATGACCTGGACTCTGAGCTGAACTCGCCAACAGGGAGGGACAGTGACTCATCTCACTGGTTACGTCAGCAACTCCCTGCACCCCAAGCACCACTACCCCCGGGAACAACCTGGTCTACTGACCAGGATCTTCCTGAAGGCCAAAGACACCTCCAGTTGCACTAGCCGTGCCTAATAATAAAGTTCACGATGGACAGTCACCCCACCCCTGCAATACTGACAGTCGGGGAGAAATGACCATTGGCAACTCTGCAATACAACGTGAACTACATTCTATGGTGGGGGAAAGGCTGTGTGCTACCAGCAAACAGGGCCAGTGCTGCTGCAGGATCACTGAATACCAGCTGCGGAGGGACAGTTGGATCAGTTCTGCATACACGTGGGACAGTGCACACTCTGGATCCTCTCCAGGACTTCAGCACCCACTGGGTAGAAAAAGATTAAGCAGCAGAACTTCAAGTTCTACACATCCCACTGCTCTACTACCCTGCAGTCCTGCCTGCCTCCTGGGCTGGCATACCCGGACCCCCTTAGGAATGCTGCTCAAAGTCCAGTCCTTGCACTGTCACCACTATCCACAAGGGAGCAAATATAGGACAAGGAAGCACCAAGAACTCTGCTAGTACAACTGTGACATGTTGTCTTATAAAAGTTGTAGTCTGTAACAGATTACAGTTGTGTAGTTTTGGTATTAGGAATTGAACTTAGGGCATTGTGCTTGCTAAGCAAGTGCTGTGCCACTGAGCTATATCCCAGCCCATAGATTAGAATTTATAAAAATAGATTATTAGCTAGGTGTGGTGGCACACACCTGTATTCCCAGCACTGAGGGGGCCGAGGCAAGAGAATCACCATGAGTTCGAGGCCAGCCTGGGCTCCATAGTGAGATCTGTCTCAAAAACAAAAACAGTTTCTTATCACAGCTAATTCTGAGAAGAAATACTAGAAGAGACACAAATACCTGTATGAAAAATTCCATAAGCCTTAAGGTCCCCAATTCAGAACAAGTCAAAACCAGGTAACTGGTAGAAGTTTATTCAGGTTGTTGATTATACTAAAGACCTCATGAGACTTTCAGTTCTTTTGTGCTGTTCAATAACTCTGGTCTGGTCCAAGACAGGGCTCACTTACTAGGCACAGATGATGATTTGTGTTTAGACACAAGGTGATGCTAGTCCCAGGGAGCCAAAATGATGTCCCTCAAACTGAGCAGACAAAAGCAGTTGGTGGATTATTCTGACCCTAACCCAGAGCATGACAGGAAGGGGATGCTGGAAACTGGTTATTCCCACTAAGGACTGTCAACACAGAAATAGGGAGCTGCCTTGGAACAGCAGGGCAAAGTTTATGTTTGAACTCTGTGGAGCAGCAGCATGACTTCGCATTAAAAATAGCTAAGCAGGCTGAGCACACACACAGCTCAGCGATAGTGTGCCTGCCTAGCACTGGCCAGGCTGGGGGTTTGACCCCAACACAAGGGAAAAAGACAGTGGGTGGGAGAGAACACTCAAGCCAAACCCAGCCCCAAGTACCAGGGCATGGCTTTGGAAGCTGCAAGCCTCATGCCTTCTGCTCTCCCAGCTGGCCAACACGCAAGGGTTCTGTGGTGTACCAGACACCCTACCTGGGATTTTCAGAGAAACCAGGGAATGAGGAAAACGTAACAAATCAGAAATGAGGAGCCTAAGAAGAGACATCATGAAGCCCTACTACATTGTCCATCCAGGTTAAGGGTAGACCGACTTGGGCTTTGAGAGGCTGATGGAGTGAAGGATGAAGGAGAAACGCCTACACACAGCAGCCGAGAAGAAACCTTTCTACTGCCAACTGGTCCCCAACTAGTTGCTTCCAGAAGACAAAGAAAAAAGCAGAATCTAAACCCATGGACTCTGCCACCTGGGCAATTAATAGTTACTCTGCACACTGGCCACCAGCAGCAACCTGACCTTGGCCTGACCCACCCCAAACAGCTCTGCCCCCTCACGTTACCTTACCTACACTGGTGGGGCACAGTGGCTATACATGAGGAACATTGGCCGTGTTTTCAAGTGTTACCAAGTCTGTAAGTGGCACACTGCCAGCAAAAGCAAAGGCCTCTGGTTTCTGCCTCCTCAAGAACTGCATCAGTCACCCAGCACCAGGCTGATACAAGAAAAGGCACCGAGCTGAGAGGCCGCCTTAAATCCACCTGCAGTATATCCTATCCTACCCAGATGCGCTCTCCACAAGGGTGTGGGGTCCGGTGCCTTCCAGCCTGGCCTTCAAGACCTTCCACATCTGGCTGCTCAGACTGAAGTCTGGAATGGAAATTTTAGGTCCCAACAGCAGCCTATGTTAAGTTCAGCACATATAATTTCTCAAACTAAGAAATTTCAGAAATAGCCCCATGATATAGTACGTATTGAGGCACTGAAGAGGTAATCTGGAGAAAGATGTGAAGGAAAATCTGGCAGGGCATCCCACCACGGCCCTTCTTCCTATCAGGACAACGAGCGCCAGGGAAGATAGCCCAACACTAGCTGTGGCCTTCTCAGTCCATGAGTTGCCATCATGAACTGAAGGACATTTCCCCTCCCCCCAGTTTCAAACACCTGGAAAAACAGAAAAGTCCCAGGTAGAAATCTAAACCCTCCCATGTGCCAGGCTCAAAACAAAACTGGAGGAGTGGAGTGCTTCTGAGAATTACCAAAGTGGCAACAAGAAAAGTTTCAGTTTACACCCTCACTAGAATACATGACACAGGTTTTTAGTGAGAACCCAAATCCTCAACCCAGCTCTGACTGATGTCAGAAAATTAGAGTGCATCTGAGTCAACCCATCCCAGGATCTTTCAATCAGTGCTGACTCTGGACTACAACCTTTCCAGTCTGTCATGCACAAGGTAACACTGCCATTCAGGGTTCGATTCCTTAGTGGGTGGCCTCAAAGAATGGCAACGTAGGCTAAGAGCCAATGCCAACGAGACAAGATTGCTGATATCCAGCCCTGTGGAACAAGGGAGAAACTCATGCCAACGAACCTGGTATCTGGATGCTTCAACCCCAGGACCTCAAAGCCACAGCAATCCCATTTTAGAACAGATTTCTCTCTCTTAAGAGTTTAGTCAACTGATAAAGTGCCCATAATGTGCATGGCAAAAGGTGAGGCCTAAAGGACACCAACCCTAAATAAGGTGTACCCATGAAGCCTGTGTCCTCAGCAAGAAGTGTTCGTACCTCTGAACAATGTGCAGTGACCACTCTACAGCTGCACTGTCAGGACCAACCTCCACAAAGCACAAAGTTGTCTGGCAAGGTTTCAGAGAATAAACAATTTCAGAATACCTCCTTTTTGATGGCTATGAATGGGTGGCTAATGGAGTGACTCTTAAGTATAGCGCCCAGATCCTGATGTTAAAACTTTTGCCAAAACCTATTGTTCTATAAATAAGCAGAACCGCTTCCATTTATCCACCACTCTGACTCCCAAAACACTGCTGGGAAGGCATCTGGCTGACTACTTGGTTATAAATATTTAAAGAGTGAAATCCAAATGTCTCCCAAGCATATTTCACTCAGTAAACCAACACAGCAGAAGTGCAGGTTCAAATCCACGGCATGTGATGGGGTTGTCTTGCGGGTTAACTAGTCACCAAAAGTAGTTAAAAGCTACTCCCCGAAGCAGATTTCTCTTAACTTTGTCAGTCCTCCAGTTCTGGAAGGGAGGAGGTGGGGAGCCAGCCCCAGGCTTCGCAGAACTCCCGACCCTCTTTGACAGGTATGGCAGCCAAACAAAGACCGAGGCCAGGTCTTTCAACCACAGAACATGTTTAACCCTAAACTCGGCAAGTCCCAGGAAATAATTTATGCAACGCGTGCAATTAATTTTACCTTACAATTCTCATCTAGATCGCTTAAATTAACCCTTTATTATACTGTGCATTGTTACTGCAAATCGAACACAACCCAGGACATTTTACCAGTAAGTATTTTTCAAATTACCTTTAACATTTGAATACCACAACTCTGAGTCCTTCCCACTTCCCCTGCTTCCAGTTTTGCCAATGGCTTAACACCGACTTTGTCTGTGTTCATCTAAATTTGATTGGCTGTACCCAGTACCAAATATTCAGCTTGGATGCTCAGAACGTACTCAATGACAACTGCAAGGCCAAGGGGCTGTAGACAGACCAGGGCCAGCACAGTTCCTAGCTCAAAGGGAACACTTTCAGTGTCTCCCTTCAAGCCAAGGAAAATACCCGAGAGAAGCAGCAGGCCCCTCTAGGGGGTCAGTTAAGTAGAGCTGCCATTGTCGGAAAGGGCAGGAGCAGCCGGTCACGAGGAGCCCTCAGGACTGAGCCCAGCGTTTCCCGTTTCTGACCGGGACACCTTCCACCTTCACACTGTATTCAAGTTGTTTTGACATTTTCCCCCACGTGTGGGAGACGCAGGGTCTGCGGGGGTGGGGGCAGGCAGTGCCGGCCCGTCGCGGAGAGCAGCATGGCCTTTGTTTACCGCGGTGACCTCAGGCGGGGGAGGAAGCCGCCGCCCGGGCCCGAGGCCCAGGCCGTCCCCTCTCCTCCCCGCCCCTCCCCCAGGGACCGCAGCCCCCAGGTCACAGCCCCCCATTGCCCGGCCCCGCCGCCCCTCCAGCCAGGGTCCTCCCCTCGCCGGGCTCGCCGCCCCACTGCACTCCAACCATCTCCGCGGCCCGCAGACCCCCCAATCCCGCCGCGCTCCCCGAGCGGCCGTTGCCCGCAGCCTGGGATGCAGGGCCCCGAGCGCAGCCCGGCGACGCCCCCACCCCGGAGCCCGCCCGGCCTCACCGAGATAGATGTCTCCGAAGGAGCCACTGCCGATCTTGCGGCCCAGCCGGTATCTGTTCCCGACCCTCAACTCCATGGCGGCGCGCCGGTAGCTGCTGCTTGCCCGGCCGCTTCCTGGGTCTGCGCTCCGGGAGGCGGCGCCGCTTCTGCCGCGACTGCGGGTCCGGTCCGGCTCCGCCCCCCTCACGGCCCCGCTTTCACCATCGCTTTCAGGCCGCCCAACCGCCCCCAGCGCCTCAATACGGGACGGATGAGACAGTCCGAGCGCCGCCGCCGCTGCTCCGGCCCCTGCCGACCCCGCTTGCCCTCTCCCCGCTGCGGATGGACTCGGATCTTCCGGGCCTAAATCCTCTTTCTGCTGTCTAAAGGAGCCGCCGCCATGGCGCTGTGACGTCACTTCCCCTAGCAACCCGACGGGGCGGGGCCGCGGCTCACGGAGGCGGGGCCTGGCGTCCTAGCCTTTTCCGGGTGCCCCAGTAGAGCCCCGGCAGCAGAGCCCCTGGATGTTCCGGGCTTGGGACCTCTGATTATATGGCCCTTTCCTTCTTGCAGGCTCCTAGTGATCACGCTGGGGCGTCGTGTCTACGGGCAAACCTGCTGTCCTCTCAGCAGACCTGGGAAAAGTCTCCCTCGGCGCTCTGTATGAAAGGATAGGGGCGTCCCCCGCGCTGGAGCTGCCAGATTGAAGCGCGAAGCTGCGGCCATCTGCAGCCTGAGGCCTTGTTACAGAGCTGGGTTGAAGGAGGCAGGGTATGCAGAGGACAAGGCCTGGACTCTGCTTTCCTCCTCCAGTGTAATCGGCCTGGAGAACAAGTTTCCACAGTTACCTAGTTGCTGTTTGAGCTGTGCTTTCTTTCTCACAAAGCAAACAAGCACGAAGTTTAGTCCGTTAGCCAGCTTGAAGCCCTCACAGGCGGTACCGGGAACCAAGAGGGACGCCTCTCCACCCCTGCAAGAAAGGAGCAAACACTGCAGTGCAGTGCATCATCTGGACCTCAAGGATCCGTTTGCCCAGTCACAAGCCTGGGACTGCCTGCTGGGCCAGGAAAGAAGGGAGCAAAATGGCCTGTGAGTGCCCCCGCATTGGGCACTTGGGGCTGGGCTCTCCACTTTTCAGTGTTCTCACCTCCTCCCCAGCTGGAGCCCCTGCCCCAGACAGCTGACAGTCTGGCTAGGAGGACAGACAGCAATTCCTGAGCCCTGGACCTATGGCCAATGAGTGATGGGCAGTGAGGAACTACACAGTTTCTCACTTTCTTACAGGAATCAAAGGGAGATTTTGCCAAACTAGTAAAAATAACCTCATCGGCAGAATTCTCCTTGAGCTTTTCTGTTAATGAACATTGCTTGGCTTCACTGCCAGACTGGAATCTGAAGGGGCATGACACCCACTCCCAGGAGATAACTGGGCCAGCCACTTCTTTAGCAGCGCTAATCTTGGGCCAGTGCCCTCCTCTGAGGACCTCCCTCAGGGCCAGCTTCTACTCTCTGCCTCCCCTGCCTGTTCTTTTAATAAGTCAGGAAAACCAGCCAACACCTGAGACCAAAGACCTTGCTTCTGTTTCCCTCTGTGGCACAGCAGGCGGCAGCTGGAAGAGCCCTGGAAAGAAAGAGTATTGGTTTTTTCCCCCTCCCAGTACTGGGGATTCAACCCAGAGAATACTGTGCTCCTAATGCTCACAGGACCTCATTAAGACTGGCCTGAACTTGCCATCGCCCTGCATCAGTCTCTTGAGTAAATTGGGATGGAGGGTGTGGTGTCACCCACCTGTAATGCCAGCACTCGGGAAACTGAGGCAGGAGGATTGCTGTGAGTCCTAGACTACAGAGCAAGACCCTGTCTAAACAGAATCAAAACAAAACAAAACCATACTGGGTCGCTGAGATTACAGGGATACCCAGCGAGTGCTGCCTTTTTGGAGGGCCACTCACTTATCTGGCCTGAAGAGTATTCTCAACCCCATTATCCCAGCACCATGCTGCAGGTGTCTCACCCAGGAGCCAAAGTGGTGTGGTCTCCTTCATGGCCTCAGTTTCCCATTTGTGAATCACACTTTTGGCTCCAGGGCTTGCAGAGGCTGTGCTCATGACAGCTGCACCCCACTCCTGACGTCAGCAGTGAGGTGCCAAGCCCTCTCTGCTCATTTGTCACCCTCTGCCTCTGCCTCTGCCTCATCAGCAGCCAAATACTGGCATGCCCCCAGGTCCTCCAGGCACAGAAGGTAAGCCAGTGAAGGTCCATGTAGATGCTGGCAGATGTAACAGCTGTGCTGGGCACAGTCTGGTGAACCTCCCAACTCACACTGACCCAGGTGACTCTCACCCCTACATCTGGTACATGATCGGCAAACACTGGCTTTGCAAATGATTCATGTGGATGGATCCCCAGGGCAAAACGGGTACTAAAACCAGGCCTACACCCAAGCAAGATGATGAGACTCAGGCATAGAACTCACAGCAAGAGGAAGATTTGGGCCTTCTCTCCCTCAAGACTCACCTGGGACTCCCCAGGTGTGTCCTGGGAAGGATTAGAGCAGGAGGCCCCTCTACCCAAAACCACAAGCTGCAGTGGAAGCCAAGTCTCTTAAGGCCCCCATTGCTGGGCTGGGCATGGAGGCCTTTCTGGCTGTCCTCGTCTCTGCCTGGAGGATTTAGGGATATAGGTTTGTTCATGATTGTCTTGCTTTTCTCACTGAGATGAAATACCTGACACCCAAAGTGAAAGAGGGAAAGGTTTATTTAGCTCAGTTGGCAGAGGTGGCACATGACAGAGGGGCAACAGTTCACAATAGCGAAAGACAGCAAGAGTAACAAGCAAGAGAGCAAGTCCAGCCTCTTTCTGCCCCTTACATTGTATTCAGTCTATTAGGGCGGTGCCCATCCAGTCATTAAACGGATCCAGCAATCACCCACCCTTACTTAATCCCAGCACCCTTAATCCCAGCATTGTACCACTAGTCGATCACACACTCTAGCTTCAGCCACCTCCGGAAAAAGCGCCATCTAAAACTGCATGAAGCTTTAGGGGACATCTAGACCCGAACTATAACAATGATCCTCCTGGGCAAGCTTCACTTCCAGTTCTGCAGGTCCCTCCCACCTAATGCTTTGTGATTACTTGGGAGTCACTTGGAAGGCTGAGGATCTTAGAAGTGCCAGTCCAACCACACAATTCAGTGACTTAGCAAGACCTTGTCCAAAGGAAAAACTAAACAAACTAAAAAAGAGTTGCAGTTATAGTTCAGTGAAAAGCTGTGGGTTAAATTCCTAAGTACTATACACATAAAAAAGTACAGCTCAGTGTTCTTCTGCAGTCACCGAGATATGGATCATTCTGTACTCAGTTTCACATCTTATCACCACAAAACAGAAGCTGGAATCCAACAACCAGCACCTCACCCCCCTCCCCTGGCATGAAGAAGCAGTGATCCCCTTGCTGGTGTGGCCAATGCCTGGCTTCAGCCCTCAGGGCTTTGTGCTTCCTGTCCCCCAGTACCCACTGCAGGACCATGGGAGTGTCAGCACCATGAGTTCCTTGGGTGTTATGCTTGGGATCTAAAATCCCCCTACTCCATGGGCTCACTATGCTGGTGCCTGATGGGTTTGGGGAAATGACTGGGTCACATAACCCCAGACTCATCAGGTGCACAGTGGACAAGTCCATCTCTAAATGGACTGTTGGATGCGGGGCCCTGTTGCCCTGTGGCTCTCCTACTGTGTCCTGGCTGCCATGAGGTGACAGCTTTCCTTCTGTCATATCCTCTATTATGGTGTTTCTGCCTCACTTCAGGTCCAGAAGCCATGCAGCCATGTAATCTAGGCACCTAATCTAAAATCTCTAAGCCATGACCCAGAATAAACCCTGCTTCCTACAAGATCTCAGATATTTCGTCCCAGCAGTGGAAAACTAATACACCTTGGAATTGACATCATGACACACGGAAATGGCCTAGAGAAACCAAGCGTTGAACATGTCTAGAGTTTTGATGGCAGCTGCAATTTCAGATTAATGTATAAGTTTGGATAAAATGTGCATCCGTACAGTAGAATGTTATTTGGTCTTAAAAAGGAAAGGAATTCCAGCATATGCTGCAATATGGATGAACCCTGAGAACATTTCAGAGTGAGATAAGACGGTCACAAGAGGATACATCCTGTGTGCTCCATTCATGCAAGGTCCCCGGAATGGTTAGATTCATTGGCACAGTGAGCAGAGTGGGAGTTTCCAGGGACTGAGGGGTGGGAATAGGGAGTCAGAGTTTCAGTCTGATAAAATGAAAGAATTATGGAGACTGGACACACAATGTTATGCTTATCCCTAGGGGTGGGGTTTTGAAGGGAGGTTTTTGTTCATTTTGCAGTGCTCAGAATGGAACCCAGTGGCTCACTCATGCTTAGCAAGTGCTCTGCCACCGAACTACTCATCCAGCCCTGGTCATACATTATAAATGTAAGTAGTGCCATTAAATAATACTTTAAAAACATTTGTAAAAGATGAAAAAGAAAAGGTAAATTGTGTGTTACGGGAGTAGTAAGAGAGAATGGCCAGAAAGGGGGTGGGAAACCAAACTGGCAGCTCTCGGTGCTGAGACACTGGGACAAATCTGTGGTGGTTAGGGGCTGGGGGTTTAGCTCAGCGGCATAAGCACCTGCCTTGCAAGCAGGCGGTTATGAGTTCGATCCCCGGTACCGATAAAAAATGAAAAAGACAAAAAAAAAAAAATCTGTGGTGGTGACTATCTTCTGTCCCAGGGAGACCATCTCTGCACTGTCAGCTCTGTACGGGTCACTGTGCCATCTTACTGCTGCCTTGGCAGCCCACTGTGGTTCTGAAGGCCCCGATCTTTCTTTCTTTGCTTACCCAAGATGCTGAGAATTCACACAGCTGCCACAGCTTACTAAGCCTGCCTGCCTAGCTTTTGTGTGTGTTTCCTAAAGCCCACGGGCAGTGGGAGATGTGGAAAATAGCAGGGATGACCAGAAGGTGGTGGCCCCAGGAAGCTGAGTGGATCTGCAGGCAAGGCAATGCTCAAGGCTCCTCCCAGCAAATCTGTTTGTCCCAGCAAACCAGCAAAGGGGGTGATGTCTTGACCTTGGAGCCGAGCAGTCTGGTGCAGTGCCAGTAACACCCTTCCTTCTCTGAGCCGAGGAAAGTGTATGCTAAATAAAGACTCTCTCAGCTGGCATATAGCTCAGTGAGAGCATGCACTGGACCCTCAGTTCCATTCCAAGAACCACCAAAAAAAAATAAATAAACAAAAGGGGAAAACAATCTACAGAGGGGCGCTACAAGTAATCCTTTTTTGTAGTACTGGGGAATCAAACCCAGAACTTGTGCATATTAGCCAAGCCCTCTACCACTGAGCTACATCCCAGCCTGAAGAGTCAGCATATTTATTATTTATTTGTTTATCATTTATTTTTTTGAGACAGGGTCTCACTGTGTAGCCCAGGCTGGTCTTGAACTCTCAGTGTTCCCTGGCTTTCATCTCCAGAGTGCTGGGTTTATAGGTGTGCACCACCTCACCTGGCTCTGCTACTGTTAACTCTATCAGCACCTAGGGCCAGAGTGAGGAGGAGTAAAAACTTCCCGGAGTTTTCATCAGAGGTGGAGAACAAAGGACGGGGAAATCAGCATCTTCTGTGGATTTCATCGTCAGGATGGTGGGTTTGCGGAATGGAGCAAGGTGCCAAAAAACTGTGGTGTCTCATCTGCCAACGACAGTACAGAAGATGCTGCTTGGAGCTGGGACAGGGAAGGTGGGGTTACAGTGGGCTCCAGGGCAGCCAGGGGAGCAATGGGGCAGGCAGCTGCCCCTGTGAACCCCCCTGATGAGCACTACCAGCTTGCTGTCCAAACTGGGGTTTGCCCAGAGCAGCCACCAGTCTCTTCCTGCTGCTCCCTGCTAGGTGGCAGAGACCATACAACCCAGGCTGCGGTCACCCCAGCTCAGCTGCTACAGGGCTGAAGGCCTTATTCACAGCCTGACCATGTGCCATCTGAGGGCAGCAAGGCATCCAGAGCCAAGGTGGGGCCTTCAAGAGGCAATGAAGTAATGGGGGCCCTGAGTTCAAGGAGGAGTGGGATCCTGCTGTTCTCTCACCTGCTCTTGTCCATCTGCCTCCAGCCTTCGGGTGACACAGGTGGCCCTCATCAGGTGGGGGCTCCCTGTCTTGGGCTTCTCTGCCTCCAGAAGTCTGAGAAATAAATGGCTGTTCATTAGAATTTTCTGGTATTCCATTAAAGCACCAAAGAGCAGACTTAGGTAGCTGGTGAGACAGGCAATGCCACCCTGGCAGAGCCTGAAGCCTTCCCTTTGTCCTGTGTCCAGATGTGACAGGCCCTTAGCTCACTGTGGACCCTCTGCCTCATAGGGTTCAAGGGGCACCCTGAAGTAGGGCCCTGGGGCCCAGCAGGGCACTGATGGTTCTTCTTGGACTGTGGACCCCTGTGTCAAAGGCAGGGTGTGTGTGTATAGGCAGTGTGGGGGGCTACTGAATGGAAGTCTGTGGAACAGGCTAAAGATGTTTGGGCGGGGGGGAGGGTGACACAGGAGGCGAAAGGGAGTTTGGGTGGCCTGAAGAGCTTTAGGAGCCACTGTCCATTGGCTGGGGGTGGAAAGGACTCTAGGGAGCTGCTTTTGCCTAGTGGGTGGGAGGGGCAGCTTCCTGGAGCTTTGGGGCCACTGCAGGAGTTGGCCTGGGGTCTGCGCCCTTGGTGTCCAGGCCTGAAAACTCCCTCAGGAATTTCTTCCCTTGCCCCAGGGGGCCTAGAACAGACTTCTAGGAGATTTCCTCGTCAGGACCTATCTCCATTTATGTGTGGGCTCTGTGCTGGGGCCTAGGGACAGCACAAGCCAATGGGCTTCCTCTACAGCATGAGTGGAAGTTGTTACCATCTGGGAGCGGGCACCCAGAGGCCAGGCCCTGCCCTTGCTCCTGTTGCATCTTCTAAGGGGAGTGACCTTCCCCCAGTGTCTGAAGGATGAAGGATGACCTTGGTGAGAGGGACAGGAAGGAGCCAGTGTGGAGGGCCAGTGGTAGGATGTGTGGGTATCGCATGTGTGTGTGTATGTGTATTGGGCAAAGCTTAGTGTCCAATCCCTGGCCAAGGGTAGCTCCCGGAAATGCTGTAGTTACCCAAGGCTGGAATGAGACAGCGGCACCTGTGGGAGCCAAGGGAAGCAGCCCATCAGGTTCTTAGAGAGCTCTGTACCAGCCCTAGTGACTAATGGGGCAAAGGCTGCAGCCTGTGCCAGAGGATGGAAGCAAGTCTGTTCCCCACTCCTTCCACTCAGCCCAGCCAAGGCAAGGCCCTGATGGAGGCCAGGACGACAGTGTACTGGATCCAAGGCTGCACTTGGATTGATTAAGGCAACCACTTAAACTTATTTGTTTTGATTTTCGAGACAGGGTCTCACCATGTAGCCCAGGTTGACCTCAAACTCACTATGTAGCCTAGGCTTGCCTTTGACTCGAGGTGATCTTCTGCCTCAGCTCTCAAGTGCTGGGATTACATGTATGTGTTTCCATACTCAGCTTTAAATTTAAATTAATCCCCCTACACACACATCCAGAGCTGGGCATATTGCCAGTGGTCTCAACTGGGGCTGATTGTGCTCCCTAGAACATGTGACCACAGAGAAGGGTCCAGCCACAAGTGTCAGTAGGGTCAAGGCAGAGAGGCCCCTGCCAGACCCACTCCTGGAGCAACAACGTGGCCAGGTAGAGGTGGCCTTAAGTGGATCTCAGCTGTGGTTGTTTACTCAGTTGGGTGAAGTATGAGCCTCTGAAGAGGCCAGGTGGATGGGATAGGGGGCTCCACCATGCCAGCTGGGCGGGGCTAAGGTGGTCCACAAGTGTGGGCTTTTTTGAGGCAGGGGCCAAACTCTGAACAGAGCTGGTCTGTCTGGAGCTGACATTACAACTCTGAGCTGAAAAGCGTGGGGAATAGGCCCCTAATCTGTACCTGACTTCAGCCTGACTGGCCCCTTAGGCTGGAGAACTCCAGTTTTTGCAGCTGGAGATATCCCAGAGTTCCTGGCCCAGTGCTGTGTCCCATAGCTCAGGAGCACCCATCCCTTCTGCCCAGGGGCTTTGGAGCCCTACATCCCATTCCTTCAGTCTCAAGTTACATAGCCTTGGCAGCTTGGCTTTTCCAGAGAGGCCAGGATTATCCAAGGTCCTTGACGCCACCCCACTCTGTGTTCCTGGGGCTAGCACACAGGACATGACCATACACTTTCTTCTCTGGACAAGCAGCCAGTGCCACACGCTGGTGGGGACAATTATGTCCTTACTGCTGCCCTCTGCAGCATGGGCAGCATGACCCCTAACAAGATGGAGCCCTCCAGAGGCAGCAGAGGGGCTGGGAATCCTCCAGGGCTGAGCTGCATTACTGCTAGGAGGTGCAAAGGCTGCATGGGGAGGTATGCCAAGAGCCACCTCTGGTCCCTGTGCACAGGACCTCTACAGTGAGCAGAGGCAGGCAGGGCCAGCAGCATTGGTGTCTGGGCTCTGGGTACATGAAAGACTGAGGTACTGCAAGATACTGCGTCAAGAGCTTTGCCCAGACTCAGACTCCCACCACCATCCCTGTCAGAGGCTCGGAGGAGGCCTGCTGTCCAAACTTGTGCTGACCACTGCCTATGGAAGCCTGGCTATCTAAGCGGTGGGCAGAGTGGTTGCTGCTGTTGCCCTGGCCATGCCCTACCAAAAGAGCAACTCCCAGCCTTCTCTTCCATTATGGGCAGGACTTCTGAGCCCCTGAAGCTGAGTGTGTCCACTGGGTAGTCTCTGGGATGCTCTGTCCCCTGCTACCTGAACTGGGGCTTGTGGCCTCATCCCCACTTCACTGGGCCAGGCCTGGGCATTTCACTGATCTCACAGCAGTGCTCTGTGACACACACCGTAGTCCCACTGTCTGTAAAGCTCACATGTGTGAACATCCTCAGCCTCTAGCCACAAGTAACTACTGCTGGCAGCTGCTGGGGCACCTCCTTGCCTTGGCTGTCTCTTTGGGCTGGCTGTGTGGGCTTGGGCTCCCTTTGTCCCACCACCTACCCCTCCACCACTGCCTCCTGCCCTGCCTCTGGGCCCTTCCTGCCAGGCACAAGTTCTACCCTAGCCCTGCCTGGCAAACCCCTTCTTGTGGTCCTGGTGGGTGGCCTGGGCTTTCGATACCATTCCATGTGTCAGAGACAGGGGTAGGGCTCTCATGACAGGGGCTTCTGCAGGCATGGTCCCACCAGAAGGAAGTCGGGGTGGCCCCAAATGCACTACCCAACTCGGATCATAGCTGTTGCCCCATTCCTCCCACCAACAGGGATGCTGGGAGGCTAAAGCTGGGAGGGTCACACCTGTTCCTGGCTCTTGTGGATCTCCCGTTCCTCTTTGGCGACTGGCACAGACCCAGCTGAGAGGCCTGGCCTGGGCCCTTGCTGTGTCTGGACACCCACAGGCCAGCAGGAGCACTCAAGTTGGACACTGCGTTGGGCAGTTGGTATTTGTGTTCAGATGCACCCATCCCTGCTCATGGCATCTCGAGGCTATAGCACAGTGAAGGCTATACACAAGCTCCTGCTGAGCTTCTCCCCTTAGGGATCCCTGCCCCCAGCCTGCCAGCCACCCAAGGGAACACTCCCAGGGTACTTCCCAGTACCTCATCACGGAGGCACTACAGCTCTGCCCCCTCACTGCCAGCTGTCTCTGAGGTGGTAGAGGCCAAGGCCTCAGCTGACCGTGGAACTTCTGTAGCCTCCTCCTCTCTGCTACTACCACCTCCAGGCTAGGCATCCTCTCTAGCACAGCAGGACCTGGCCCTGGCCTCCTTTGAGCATGCTACTTAGAGGCCAAGGGGAGAGGTGACCCAGGGACTGGGGCACAGGCTGAGGAACTTCTGGATCAGTTCAAGGTAAAAATCAAACCTCTCAAACAGGGCTTGTGATATCTTCTGGGAGGGCAAAGATGGGTGCTCCAGGTCTAGTGCAGTGTGGGATGCACAGGTGCTGGAGAAAGGAGCTGTCACAGTTGTTAGAAACAATTAGCAAAGAGGGTGAAGTATCGCAGGCCTGTATTCCCAGCACTCTGGAAGACTGAGGCAGGAGGATCACAAGTTCAAGCCCAGCCTGAGAGACCTAATGATTTAGCAAGACCCTGTCTCAATATAAAAGATAGAAAGGGCAGGAGATGTGGGTCAGTGTGGAGGCACTGGTTTTACTCCCCAGTACTACAAAACAAAAAACAAAAAACACACTAAGAATGGCCAAGGTGGCTGCCACAAAACCAGCTTTGCTCCAACTAAATATCAGCTCCAGAAATTCCATTCAGAGCAAACCAAAACAGAAAGAGGAAACATTTAAGAGCAGAGGTCAACAGGGTAGGGAGGAGGAGAGAAGGACGAGCCAGGCCCTGGAAGGACAAGCACAGGGAAGCAGGAACAAAAGCAGAAAAGCAGGACTCAGCCACAACACAAGGAGCAGAAAAGGCAAGCACAGCACAGGCTGCTAGAACAGAATTAGGAACTGTAATACGCTTATAAAACCCAAAGCCTGAAGTAGGACTTCCCTGGAAAACTGTAAAACGACAAAACTAAGCGTAAAAGGAAGCACAGAACATGGTGAAGTGGTCGATGGAGCCCTTCCTGCGGCCCCACCCAGCTCCAGGGACTAGCAAATTCCTGCCTCGGACAAAAAGTTCCAGAAAGTGAAAAAGAGAGGGATGTATCCAGCTCAGCTTGTGAAGCTGGGCTGTGGGATGCCAAACTAGACAGTGCAAACAAAGGGCTGGGGAGGCCTGCTCCACTGGGAATTAGGCACAAAAATGTGCTAAACAAAGTATTACAAAACCGGAGGGGATCGTATCTGAGAAACAGACCCCGCGGTTGAGGTTTCTCTAGTTTACTATCAGAAGATATCAGTACGGTTCTTCCATCAGTAGACTAAAGGAAAAAAATCCTAAGAGTAATAATTGGCACAGAAAAGCGTTTTATAACATATAATAGATTTTATTTTGTTTTTAATTAAAAAGCTTCTAAGGCAGGGGGCAGGGAAATATAGCTCAGTGGCATAGTGCCTGCCTGGCAAGCGTCAGGCCCTAAGTTTGATTCCCAGTAACAACAACAGAAAGTAAATAAAAAGCTTCTAATGTAATACTATGTACCAGGCCTTGAGTTTGATACCTGACACCACAAAAAAGCATTTAAAAAAGTGTGCAGGGGTCACAAGTTCAGAGGATGCCACCTATTCTATGTAGATGTTCTGTCCTTGAGGCGTGGGACCTAACTGAAGGACCCACATAATGACTTCCCATCAAAATAGTGCAGTATGAGAGAAGGGAGAGACCAACAAGTGCGACCTCAGCCAGCTGGACAGCGTCACCAAGAATGGACATCATGGTGACAGCAGGGACCCTTGAGATGCTGGGAGGAAAGGGGCACTTCTGTCACCTTCCTTCCCCAACATCTCATTGGGGAACCTTCTAATTCTGAGAAAAACATGAGACAAATCCCAGTAGAGATTTACAAAACATCTGACCACCGGTCCCAACTTACAAAGGTGGAACACAACCCAAAAAAAGCGCCTAAGGTGACATGACTAAGGGTCCTGTGAGAGCCCGGGGGATCCTGGGCAGAAAAAGCACCTCAGGTAAAACGGACGAAGCATGAATAATATGTCAACAAACAAGGATACCAGGCCAATAGGGACGCTGGGTGTGGGGTATGTGGGAATTCTGCTATCTACTGTAAGGAAACAATCCAAGAATTTTGTTACTTTAGTTTCTAATTAGTCTCACAATAGTCTTGTTACTCCTAATAATGAGTATTTAAATGCATGCTGTATGGAGATGAAAAAGTACACACACACACATGAAGCCCACCAACAGCATTGCTGTGGGTCAGGAGAATGAGTGGATGGAAAAAATGAGGGAGTGAAATATAAATAGACGAAACCAGAGATGGCCTTGCTCTTGGGAATCTGGATCATATTCCATGACCCTGGGACTGTCTGCAGCAGGTTTATTAAAACAAAGAAGAAAACTGGCTGTGTACTGATAAGGCCAAGGGGCCAGCTGCATGGCCTGACTGACTTCTTGCCAAAGACTGTGAATCCTTCAAGCAAAGCAGAGGCATGGGTGTTCAGAGGCACCAGAGTCCGTACTACAAAATAGTGATGCTTAAAAAATAACAAATTGAAATGTCATAATTTAAGAAACATGAATACAACTATTTTTAAATACCTAAAGAGAATTAGAAGTATAGAAAGGAACATCCAGGCATAATGGCACATATTTGTAATCCCAGCATTTGGGAGGCTGAGACAGGAAGACTGCTATGAGTTCAAGGCCAGCCTGGGCTATGTAGTGAGACTCTGTCTCAAAATAATAAAAATAAAGAGAAAGCAACAATTCAGAGCAATTGCTCTTCTTGAAAGATCTTCTGGGCCTGTGAGACCTAAAACTGTCCTAACTACCCCTCTCCTGGCATTAAACCTGAGCCCAGAACCTTCTATTGAGGACTGCGCCCAGGTCAGCCCCTGACAGGCCTACTTTTTGGAAATCCAAAAGTGGTGGTGCGTGTGCCTGGGTACAGTTCACTTTCCACAAGAGGGTGCTCCGATATCCATCTCAGGGTATCCAAATTCAGGAATTAAAAATATTGTATAGGACGACCAGATATTTTTGAACTTAAGATAATAGCTAATTATTTTTAGTTTTTAAAAATGTCTTAAGAATAAGTCTGTGGAGATTTAAAAGGTGCAGTGTGACTGCTAATAGGTATAGGGTTCTTTCTGAAGCATGAAAATAAAAATTAGCCATAAGGGAATACTCTCCGAGATTCTGAATATGCTAATGACACTGGTCTGCACACTTTAAGCGTGCTTTGTAGTAAGTGCACTGCAGCTCCTCAATCTGTAAGTGTCGTCAGGGCCCCGCATGATGGCGCACATCTGTAACCCCAGGGCTCTGGGAGGCTAAGGTAGGAGGATCAAGTTTGAGCCTCTTCTGGGCAATTGTGGGACTTAATGAGAGCTCGTTTCAACAAATTAAAAAAGGGATGGGAGAGTAGTTGAGCGCAAAAGCCCCGGGCTCAATCCCCAGAGTTGACTAATTAATTGTTCCCGGGCGTCCCCAGTTGCATCAGGCCATTCTCCAGCCCTCGGATCCCAGGCGTCTCGGGGCCACACGGTGTCCTCAGTTACTGCCGAGGGCCACACAGCCGAGCTTTCCATTAGTGACAACTAGAGTCACCTGCTCTGTCCCCAGCCCACGGGACGCGTGCTTAAGTCAGTACCCCAGACACACTCGCTACAAGAACGGTTGACACTGGGCTCGCCCGCCAGGGTCCTCACGCATCGGCCTCCGACTGGACGGAAGTTTTCGAGCCTCCGGGCCTTTTCTTACAACACTAGCTCGCCACTCGGTACACTGCACGCCTCAAGACTGGCGTCCTGCTGAGACCTCTGGACCTTTGCCCTGCACGCACCACGCCCTAGCCAGTTGGCTCTTACCAGCTCCTCTAGAGTGCCCATGTCCACCCCAATCCCGAAGACGCAGCCTGACGTTCTGTGATTGGCCAGATGGCACCATGTGCCAGAAGCGGGAGAGGGCGTGGTCTTGACTACGGCGGCTCAAGAGGGACAGCCCCGGTCTGGTGTACGTCGCGCCCTGCCACTGCTCCAGCCATTTCTCTGTCCAGACGAGCAGACCCTGGCGGGGTGAGGAATGAGGCCGGAGACCGACCCTCTGACTGCAAGGCCCACCCTTAGACGGAAATAGCAGGTGACCCCACCCCGACCCCATCAGCCTTAGAGATGGGGGCCAGGGCTACCTGTGGCCTTTGCGGCCCTTTGCGCGTGTGTTTAACGGGACGCTGACAGAGGTTTCTGCCGCGCGTGCGCACTGCATACTACTGGCAGCTTCGGAACGGCCACTGGCGCCCTGCCTCTGTGTCGCGCAAGGCGCTGCCTACTTTTGTGACTTTCTTAGCCTTCGTAACGGAGAGGAAGTGGTATCTCACTAGGTTTTAACGCGCTTTTTCCTATCGCTGATGACGCTGAGAACTTTGTTTTGAGCAGAACAAGTGTTCGGTCCACCTCCCCCCGCCAAGGTTTCCTGCCTGCTAGGCATTCGCTCTACCGCTGAACTGCGCCTGCGGTGTCAGACACTTTTTAATTTGGGTTTTCACACTCTCCTCCCCATCAGTAGCATTAAAATTTTTGTTTAACATTTATTTATTTTTGGTACCGGGAATCGAACTCAGGACCTTGCGCTTGACAGGCAGGTACTGTGGCACTGAACTATATCGCCGACCCTAACTTTTTTTTGGTCAAAATTGTATATCATGTGCGTGTTTTGAAATACACTGTGGAACGATTAGGTCAAACTAATTAACATGCACTAGCTCATGTATCCTTTTTTGTGTGTGGTGCAGACGCTTAAAATTATTCTAGCGATTTTCAGTAACGTACACTTAATACTTAGATAGGGAGAACAAAGGAGGAAGAGGGAGAAGGGAAAAGTAGAAAGTGAGAAAAGGAAAAAATGAAAACAAAGCTTTTGTAAGTGGGAAAGGAAGGAATGGTTGAAGGGAGGGTTGGGGAATGGGAAGAAAGATTCAAGCTATATCATATACAGGTACAAATGATGAATATGATCATTATGTGTATCTAAAATGTACCAATAAAATCCGATTGAAGAAAAAATACATTTAAGCTTGTGTGTCTGATTTATTTCGTTAAACGTGATTTTAAGGGGTATCCATCTTCCTACGGATGACTCAAGTTTATGACAGGATGGTACTCTATGTTGTATAAATATTGCATTTTCTTTATTAGTCGTCTGCTGATGGACATATGGTGGTTCTTTTTTTTTTTTTTTTTTTTTTTTTTTGTCTTTTTGAGACGGAGTCTCGCTATGCAGTTCAGGCTGGCCTTGAGCTCACTTTGTAGCCCAGGCTGGTCTCAAACTCGCAACGATCCTCCCACCTCAGCCTCCCGAGTGCTGGGATTACAGACGTGAGCCACCACACCCGGCTCCATATGGTTTTTTTAATATAAGAAACCCAGAGTTAAAAATAAAGAGCAAAATAAAAGATAATAGGAAGTAGGGAGATAGAGCATTCCCAAAGGAGAAGGAGAATCAAGGAATGGAGGTGGTTAGGGAAGGGAGGGAGAGGGGACGAAAAAGGATTTTTTTTTTTTTTTTTTTTTTGTGACCCTAGGGACTGAACTCACAACCTTGTACTTGCTAGGCTGGCGCTTATGCCCCTAAGCTAAATCCCCAGCCCAGAATTGGGGTTGTCTATGTACCTGGACCAACATTACACAAGGAATAGAAACATGCACTTCAGACATGGAAAAGTAAATGGGAAGGAGACCAAGGGACAGTGAAGGGAGGAGGGAGAGAAGGGCAAGGGGATTAGAAAAAGAGGAATTAAAGTGTTTGTGTGGGCAGCGCTATACTAAAATTGGACCGACCTAGAGAAGATCAGCATGGTCCCCATGTAAGGATGACACGCAAATTTGTGAAGCGTTCCATTTTTTTAAAAAAAGGAATTAGCCGGGTGTGGTGGTGCACACTTGTAGTCCCAGCTTTTGGAGGCTTAGGCTGGAGGAGTGTTTCAAATTCAAAACCAGCCTGGATTACAAAGTGAGCTCAAGGCCAGTTTGAACAGCATAGTGAGACCCTGTCTCAAAAAGACAAAAAAAAAAAAAATGTGTTATATACACAGACCAACTTCCAAGAAGGGATGACATGTACTACATACATGTACTAATAAAGTAATATAGATTTTTAAAAGGACATTTTATATACTTCGTCATTAATTAGCATCCTATTATACAATGGTCTCTTGAAATTATTCATTCTATGAAATTGAAATTTTATGTCCTCTAACCCAAATCTCCAAGCCCCAACTCCCTAAGTGCCTAGTAACCACCATTCTACTCTAGCTCTGAGTTTAACAGCTGGAGACTCCTAGTTAATCTGTAACTGTTAATCCTGATGTCAACTGTCCCTGGAATAGGAGACACCTAGCAGATTAGTAAAGCAAGCTCCCAGGTATTTCTGGGCTTGGTGCTATTTGCGGTCCCTTGGCTGTTCCTCTCTGGCACTGTCCCCCTGTTTCATTTCCTGGTGCTTATGAACCAAGCAACTTTGCTCCCCCAAAGCCGCCTTTTTATTTTTTATTTTTTGTACCAGGGATCAAACTCATGACATCATGTTTGTCAGGCAGGCGCTTATGCTACTAAGGTAAATCCCCAGCCCTTTGTTTTGTTTTGATAGTTAATACGTTACATATTGTTATCCTTTTTTTTTGGTACCAGGAATTGAACTTAGGACCTTGTGCTTGCAAGGCAGGTGCCTGTGCCACTGAGCTATATTCTTGCCCCCCCCCCCCACTTGTGCCATGATGTTCCTTCCTTGGAGGTGTTCAACCATGGACTGAATTCCTCCAAAATGAACCAAACTAAACTTCTCTTTCTTTAGGTTATGGATGCTGGACACTGTCTGAACCAGAAGAAAGTTAATACAGTACAACATATAAATGAGATCATGTGCTATTCATTTTTCTGGTTTATTTCACTTAAATTACATGGCTGTAATCTCCTCACTCAAGAGGCTGAGGCAGAAGGATCACCATGAGTTTTGAGGCCAGCCTGAGATACATAGTTCAAGACCAGCCTGGACTACGTAGCAAGACCCTGTCTCAAAAAATTTTTTTCCCTTTAAATTTTGATACAGGGTCTTGTTAAGTCAGTAAATCACCCTAGCTGGCTTTGAACTTGGGATTTTTCTGACTCAGCCTCGCAGGGTCCTGGGATTACAGCTCTGCACCCCCATGCCCCATTGGACTTTCCTCTTGTTCTTGTCTCTCCATCTCTCCCTCTCCCTCTCCATCTCCTTCTTCATTTTCTTTCTCCTCTTCTTCCTCTTCCTCTTTTTCGTCTTTTTGAGACAGGGTCTTGCTATGCAGTTCAAGGTGGCCTTGAACTCACTTTGTAGCCCAGGCTGATTTTGAACTTGCAATGATTCTCCAGCCTCAGTCTCCCAAGACTGGGGTTACAGGTGTGCACCACCATGCCTGGCTTCTTTTTTTCTTTTAAAAGCTGAAAAAAAAATAATCTTAACTTACCTGTTCATCTGTTGATGGACACTATCAGTCAGTGTTTCACTAGAGAAACAGATAAAACACACAATATACAAACATGTAAGAATTTACAAGATCATCTTACAATGGTCACTGGTAGAGTGAACATGCAGTGGGTGTTTGCACACTGAACACTGAAGGATTCAGTCCAAGGTCTGGAGCTCACGGCAGAGTCAGTGCAATCCCTATCAGGAGGCCAATAGGTCTGCGATGGAAGGCTGAAGAGTACAGAAAGCTGTGGAGTCTGTGCACTGGACACGAGGAGATAACATCCACAATGAAGGTGAAGACTGGAGCTCCTCGGAAGAACAGAAGCAGATCTGTCCTTCCACATGTCCCCTTTACACTGTCCAGGTTGCCTTAGGTTGTGTCTTCAACACCCCAGGGTGTAGAATTGCTGAGCCTATTTACTTAGGCTTCTCTTAACTAAACTTTCAAGTTGACGCAATCAGTCAAGCACCACAAACACTCAGGCTGACTGCACGCCTGGGCTGTCACGAGCGATGAGTTATGCAAGGGAGGGGTGCAGCTCAGTGGTGACGTGCTTGGCTGACATGTGCAAGGCCCTAGGCTTGAGCTGCAATGCTCCCCACCAGAGAAACATACTCTCAGAAAAGTTCTGGGAGGGTACATCACCTGAGGGTGATGATCTGAAAAAGCAATCTTCAAATATCAAGCACCATGCTTAAATAAAATAGCAAAGGTGTGGTTTAGTGGAACCACTTCAATTTCTGTGTTGCAAGTATGTTGCCATAGGACTCCAGCTTGGCAGGACTACTTCCTCTTGGATATCGGATGAGCCTGGCACACATCCTGATCTACGAGACGAATAGTCTTTAGATAGCCACCCAGTGCCTGGACTGTTTCCTAAGTGGCCTTAGACCTATTACCAATTCTCGAGAAAGGCCAGGTGTGTCATGGCTGGCTGTGGCTCACCTCTAACTTAGCATATCAGCCCCTTCCTCCTGCTTTGGAGTACAAAAGTCGTCTTGTGCTGCCAGAGACACATTTCTCTCTGTAAGCCCCCACTAAACTGCACTTTGTGAAGTTTTGGATCTCTCTGTGTCTTTAGTCATGTGGCATTTTCCATGGCTGGTTCTCCTTACTGGGATGGGCTTTCTCCTTTTATCTACCTTGCTAACCTACAAGCCAATTCAAATGTTACATTTGAGGGGCTAGGGTATGGCTCAGTGGTAGCGCTTTTACTTAGCAGCTAGAGGCCCTGCGTCCGATCGCAGAAAACAATATGTTATGTATGAAAATGCGTTCATTAACTTCTGTCTGGGGTGCACCATTCTCTGAAGAGACACCTGAGGGCCCTCACTCAGGTTTCCCTCCTCTTGCTGGCTGCCGCCTCTCCTCCTCCCCATTTCCACCTCTCCTTCTTCCTCCCCAGCCTTCTCCCCACTTAGCCTTCCTGGTCTCCTTGCTCAGCCTTCCCTGTCAGATGACCTCTGATAGAATTTTCCGCTTGGCTAAAAAGATAAGAAATATGAAATAAAAGTGGCCTTTAGGAGACTCCATGACCTCTGGGGTCTGGCATTTTCTCTGCCCGCCTGACATGTGGTGTGGGGTCATACGTGTAGCTTAGGTTTGGGGTGGAGCCTAAGGGGCATTACTGATGCACAGATAGCCCATTGGAATTCATTTCTCGCCAGAGGTAAATTGCTTAGGGGCGGGAAAGATGACCTCAAGATAGAGCCTCTTGGTTCTGCCTCCCAGCCTCCCACCCTCCCACCACTGCAGCTTCCCATCAAGGGCAAAATCCTTTCAACCTCTAAGTGTTGCCAGGCCGGTGGTGTTTCGAGGCTGGTCCTTGTAGGCATCCAGGGTACAAAGAGAACACTGACTCACTTTTGTTTTCCTAGTAGGAGAAGCATGCTAGTATGGTGTGAGATGTGAAGGACGGGCAGTGCTCTCACTCTATGCATGAGATTTTTGGGGTTTCATCACCCCTGGGATTGCTGCATCATAGTTGTTTCCAGTTGTGCTCACCATGACCAAAAGAGTAGGAAATGAGGAAACCACAGCGTCCCCTGGAAGGGTGACTTGGCTGAGGTCTGAGTCGGCAGAGCACAGTGCCCCTAATGGCAAAAACAAGGCGCGACAGAGGAGAAGCAGAGACAGAGCCTCTGCAGGCTGCTGGAGGAGCCATAGCTGACTTCTCACCTGGTGTCATTTGTGGGAGGGATATCATCGGGAGCATTTCTGGCCGTCATAAGACTGTCTCATGTGACCAGAAGGACTAGCTTAGTATTCCATCTTTCATGATGTGTTTCAGAAACAAGTACAAAGAGTTTTCTATGCTTAAATGTTGCTTAAAATTTTCCAATTTTCTATAAAGGTCTTCAATATGCTTCAATGTCTGGGTATTTATTTATTTATTTATTTTTTGCAACAAGGTCTTGCTGTGTAGTTCAGGTGGGCTTTGTATTCACTACAATCCTCCTGCCTCCTTCCAAGTGCTGGGATTATTGTGTGCACCATATGGCTGGCTCCATTTCTGTTTTGGTGAATTACAAAATGGGTTAAATGTGCCCGCACAGGGCCCTCTTGTCCATTTCCTGCCACACCAAGGGGCGGCTTTCTCACAGCCAGTGCAGTGCTGACCTTACTATAGACAGCTAAGTTATTTACAAATTAACAGGCAGTCAGACAAGGGTGAGCCAATGCAGAAGGTAAGAACATGTTACATCTGTGGCTGGAGCCACACTGGTTGACAGTCAAGCTTCGAAACAGAAAGAACTACACCCATGTACTTCCCATAGGGATGAACAGCAGGGACTGATGTTCTAAACAGGCACCAATCACCTGGCATGGAGGACAAAACCTCCCCAGCCCATTCCTTCCCAGAAAATCCTTGTTCGATCGTCTTATACTTGCCACCTGACTTATTTTCCACTTACTCAATATTACCTGAGTGATTATACTCACAATCTTATTGGCTGACCAAGGTTTTGTCCCACCTCATGCCTACTGTGTGACTTCCCGTTGGATCAATGCTACCCTAAGTGGCTATCATTGTAATCTCATTGGTTAACTTTAGTTTTGTCCCACCTTAGACCTACCCTATAAAACTTCCTTAAAAAGCTAGTTTCCTGGGCCACCTACTCAGACTGTCTTCTGTCTGTCTCAGACAGAAGCTTTCTTTCTCTCAATAAATACTTCCTACTCTTAACTTCTGTTCTTCCTAGAATCATTGTATTGGGAGTTACTTTTCCCTTAGATTAGTTGGAGTCCTATATCATACACCCTGTATCAACCCTAACCCTCTTAGTCCCCCAGGTCACTCCACAGGGGGCCTAGCATGAGCCCAGTGGCTGTGCAAGGGTGGGCAGAGGGAAGGGAGCCCTGCAGAGCAAAGGGCTACTCCAGGGGAGGATGGGGGTTTGCT